AAAAATTGACGATTGCCAGAGCCCGCGGCTTTTCCCCGGGGCCTGCGCTGGTTCTCGACTGCCATGTCTGTATCTCCCTGTATTGAAATTTATTGCAAGAAAATTTCGTAACGCGAGTTATATTGAAAGTTGTGTGTGTGCGCCGTAGTACTCGTTGCTCTCGGAATTGTAGTTTTTTTAGAGTAACACGCGAACGCGGTGCTACAGTTAGTTCGGAATAATCTTCCCAGATGCAGAATTAAATTCTGAATCTCCTTGTATCAAGATTTATTGCGAGAAAATTCCGTAACGCGAGTTATATTAAAAGTTGTGTGTGTGCGCCGTAGTACTCGTTGCGCTAAGAATTGTAGTTTTTATTAGTGTAACACGCGAACGCGGTGCCAGAGTTAGTTCGGATTAATATTCCCAGATGCGGAATTGAATTCTGTATCACCCTGTATCGAAAATTATTGCGAAGAAATTCCGTAACGCGAGTGTTATTGAAAGTTGTGTATGTGCGCCGTAGTAGTCGTTGCTCTAGGAATTGCAGTTTTTTCAGTATAACACGCGAACGCGGTGTCAGAGTTAGTACGGAATAATTTTCACAGATGCATAATTTAATTCTGCATTCCCCTGTATCAAAAATTATTGCGAAGAAATTCCGTAACGCGAGTTATATTGAAAGTTGTGTGTGTGCGCCGTAGTAATCGTTGCGCTAGGAATTGTAATTTTTTTAGTGTAACACTCGAACGCGGTGCCAGAGTTAGTTCTGAATAATTTTCCCAGATGCGGAATTGAATTCTGTATCACCCTGTATTAAAATTTAATGCAAAGAAATTCCGTAACGCGAGTTATATTGAATGTTGTGTGTGTGCGCCGTAGTAGTCATTGCGCTAGGAATTGTAGTTTTTTTAGTGTAACTCGCAAACGCGGTGTTAGAGTTAGTTCGGAATACTTTTCCCAGATGCGGAATTGAATTCTGTATCTCTCTGTATCGAAAATTATTGCGAAGAAATTCCGTAACGCGAGTTATATTGAAAGTTGTGTGTGTGTTTTTTTAGTGTAACTCGCGAACGCGGCGTCAGAGTTAGTTCGGCATAATTATCCCAAATGCGGAATTGTGACTCGTGTTTAGCGCACCTTACGAAGGTAGCGGTAGAAGTGACTCGTGTTCAGGGCACCGTACGAAGTTAGCGGTAGAAGTGACTCGTGTTCAGGGCTCCCTACGAAGGTATACTTATTTTGCCTATTTTAATATTTTATTTTATAAGGAATACTTAAATTAGTCGCGGTGTTGTAAACATCAATTATTGAATTAACTAAGGTATACAGTAAAGTTATACGAAGACAATTAAAAAACAATAAATTATTTATTTGTATTGGTAAATTACAAATTCCTGTTTTTCTTCATCTTTATTGCATCTCATAACCAATATATTCTATTCTTATGCCGAGAAATATTGAAAGTAAAAGTAGATTTCGTGTATGTGTGTTATTTCAATATTGTGAATTTTTACTTTCGTCTTCTCAACTACGTGTTTACCACTACGTTTGTGTATAAACAACTTTTTTGTTCAACTGACGCTACGTACGCTATCGCTTATCGCTACGTACCTGTCTTGTACCTGGTTTCGCACACCGCACACGGCAGTAGTTTCACCGCGTGGTCCGCGAACGCGTGTCTCTAATCGCCACGCGTTTTCAGACTTCAATTATTCAATTAATCGTAGTGCATTCTTTTCGTTATCAGCAAATTATTCGTAACGAGCATGTGTGCCTGTTTTGTTTGATGAGTTGTGGCGGTTAGAGTGTTCTTAAGTGAGAAATAAGTGTCCGATAATCTCTGCGCGAGTTTTCAGTTGATAAGATATATGCCTGGATCTAAAATTTCTTTATCAATGCACTGGTAGGTGTTTAATCACTTTTTTTGCCGAAAGTTAAGACGGTTTAACTTAAATTGATTATTCCATTTGAGGGATAGGGGAGAGTAGCCATATTTGGACCATTTTTATATTTTTTGATTTATAGAGCCACATATAAACTGTCAATAAAAATTAAGTAGCGGAAAAGTAACTCACAAGGCTTACCAACAAAATGATATTTTTGGTTTAAGTAAAAATTATATTTATACCCCTCAAATTTCAATTTAAAAAAATTGTGTTTTTGGTCCAAATTAAGAAACCGGTTTCCTAAATTGGACCGCGCGGTTTCCTAAATTGGACCATGCTTTTTTAACGGCAATTGACACAATAGTAAATTTTAATTTTAGCACTAACACAAGCACATTTTGTCTAAACCAAAGTGCGGCATTTCATACAGTGGATCATTTCGAAGATTTGTGCTCGTCCACAAGCTTTTCTAGGAGGTCGAAAAAATGATATACGTTTTCCCTGTTAAAACCCCGGTGCCTGTCTTCGGTCCAACTTGGGCAACTTGAAGAATTTATATTTAATGATCAACGACAATCTTAATATAACATAACCTCTCAAAATTAATACTATAAATTATAGATAAATAAAGAAGCTTTCTGATGATAATATAATAATCAGTAAAACTAACGTTTTAACGGCTTGACAGCTCTTGCACTTACGTCGTTATAATAGATTTGATAATCAATGATACACGAAGTTGTTACCACGAAGAAAGCACGCGGCAAGTTTTAACCCAAATAGTTGCATTAATTGTTTATAAATACGAGTAAAACGAGGGGCCAGTCTATTTTTGCACAAACTTCAACAGTCCGCGGATATCGTGGTGGTCCAACTTAGGCGCTGGTCCAAATTAGGCTACCTTCCCCTATTAATTTTGCAGATTACAAACACATGGTAGCATTTTTATCAGAATTCTTAGTCGTGTTTCCGAAAATAACATGAATAATTTAATTATTACAAACACTGTGTTAAAAAATATCTGAGGATTATTAAAATGACAATATTCATGTGGTCGACCACGCTCACTTTGCCGTCGACCGTCGGCTCGGTTCCGCTGAACGTTTTTAATCGAATTTCCCTCCTTATCATCATTAAATTAAAAAGTTTCTTGTTGATCTAATAAAATCTTATACGATGAATAGTTTTTCGTTATTTTTATCGTATTTACCTACTGTATTACCACGCGTCGTTGCTTGCCGTCTGCTGATTTGGATGTTTTCCGCCTGATGTTCTATCAATTTATGATGATGCTTCACCCGTCGGTTACCTTATGCAGTTGATGCTATCAACTGATAAATATATACACAATATATTAAATGTAAGTTTTTTATTCTTGTTGCAACTTTTTTCCGTAACTTTTCCGATCATTTTCGGGTAAAATCTTTGAATTTATGTTAAAATATAGTTGTTTCGGTATAAATTTCTCTTGGCACAATGTGAATGTTGATCATATTTGTAGTTTTTAAAACTTTCCTTTTGTAACACCCTGCATATTTGTTTTCCTAACAGTACTTTAGTAAATCGTCTTTATTTGTGAGTTTTGAGTGTTCTTTGTTTTAAACTTGGAATTTTCCTTTTGGAACACCCTGTATATTTTCTTTTCTTTGTGTCCGTGAAAACTTTCCTTCAGTTGTGGTTTTAGAGATTTTTTTGCATTTTAAGTTTTTTGTAACACCCTGTTTATTAGTTTCCCGGAGCATCGGGTGAAAACAAGCAATAGTTGTAGTGTTTAGATGTTTTCCTCTTTGATGGTTGAATTTTCTATTTGTGACACCTTGTATAATCGTTTTCCTTCACATCCCTGAAAATTTTGCTTTGACTGTTATTAGAATTTAACTTCTTGCACTTTGAATTTTCTTTTTGTAACGCCCTGTATATTTGTTTCCCAGGGTAACCGTGGAAAACTTGCGATATTTGAATGTTTAGATGTTTTCCTGTCTGTACTTAATTTTTTGTAACCCCCCGGTATATTTGTTTCCATTTTCAATCACGAAGAAAATTGACTTTGCTAATTGCTTTATCCCGCTTGAACTTCACTTAGTGATACGCGATTGTTTGCGCGGCTAAGCAGGTCGTAATTCCAATGTCAATATGGCGGCATGAATTCTGTTGACTTGTATTATTTTACATTGTATTTATTAATAAAGAAATGTTAAGAAATATTATGTCTTATGCTTTCAATGTACCCGTTCTATCATTTCAGGTACAGGTCTCTAAGAGAGTTCCCTCTCTCAGGGGATGATCCCCACTATAAAAATTGTTAAGGTATCCTGTATGATTTGTGTACTCCATCTTTCATTTCAGCTACAGGTGAGAACTTGTAAGAATATTTTTAAGAGTCCCCTCTCTTGAGGCGACTTAAAAATTATAAATATTTTTACAAGTCCTTAAAAGGATGTCCTTATAAGGAGTTCCCTCTCTCTGGGGATGATCCCCCACCATAAAAATTGTTGATATGCCTGATAATTCCGGGGATGAAGCGCAGAGTCATCGTAGCTGTAGGATGGGCCGGGAGCAATGGACGCATCGAAGTAGTGGGCGATCGACCAGAGCGCCGGAGGCGCTCTGGGAGATCGACCGTAGACTGTCTTATAACGACACGTGCCAAAAAATTTAAAAATTCCGTCACCCCTATTCTCATTTCTTCCTGTACTCTCTCTCTTCTCTTCTTACTTCTCCGATTCTCTCCTGCTACTTCTCTTCTCGGTTATTCCTTTTTCTTACTTCTCTTATTGCCTTCACTTATATTTCAATTTCTCTTATATTTCATTTGAGTTTACATATACAACCCAAATTACACCTGTTATTTTTATATTTGAGAAAAATGCCTTCTGTACCTGAGATTCGATCCGTGCCTACTAGCATGCCAGCAGGTGCACGTCTCCACTCGACCACCGAGTGTTTTTATCATTGGTATTTGATTCTTCTATATATGTTTTTGTTTTTATCATGTTTTTAAAAACAACAACACAATTCAAGCAACAGCAACGCATTGTACCCGCTTCATGCACATAAGATTTAAATACTATATGATTTAAGACACCGATACTGAAAACAACAAAAGGGATCTAACAAAGAAATAAGAATTAGTTTATAACATTACAATGTGTTTTATTGACAACATTTAAAATACATATATCTTTCAAATAAAAAAACATTGACGAATCTCAAATCTTGTAGCAGTAAAGACTTACCGTAAAATGTGCGCATCTCCAATTCTTCTTTCATGGATATCGCAGATTCCATGACTCCCATACTCAAAAACTGAGCACCAACATTGTCTATCAGCAGGAATTAATAATAAACCCAAGTTTTGCCAATATTCGAGAAGATAAACGACTGCCGATGAACACGCACGCGGCGCACATAAAGACCAACACGGTTGCAGATAATTCCACAACCGAATAATATCTAGCGACGGTCGGCCGAACGAACATCCCTAGCGCACAGGTGAACCGATGATTAATTGGGGTTGCACCACATTAGCCTGTTACGAAAGGCCGATGAAGGCAATTACAGAATTAAAGTAAGAAACGCGAAAAGTCGCTACGAAGATCGACTGATGAACAAAACACGTGCTAACCGTAGCACAGCGCGCGATCGACTAAAGTGTAAAGAGAATTAATATCAGGCGTAAACAAAGCAGATACGAGTAGCCCCTACCAGTACTTTCTAAATAAGCAAGAAAACTGACGCGCTGCGCCGACACAAGCAACATATCAGACACAAAACAAAATTAAAAACATCAGAGTAGTATTTATTACTTTTGATTCATTCAATTTGATTTGAGTAACGCTCTGCTTGTTTTCCAAAAATCCTAAATAATTAAGTGAAATCCCTAAAACAATCAAAAATGAATCCGTCGAACATAAAAATGCAATTTTGGTGGTTAATTTGTAAGATAATCCCAAAAGTTATTTAGGAAACTGATAAAGAAATTTAATACTTACAATCTGATGCAAGAATGGTCCATCTACGATGTCAGAGTCAGGTGCAAAATCCCTAAAACAATCAAAAATTAGTCCTTCGAGCAAAAAAATTCAATTTTGCGAGTCAATTTGTGAGATAATCACAAAAGTTATTTAGGAAAATGATAAAGAAATTGAATACTTACAATTTGTTGCAAGAGTGGTCCATCTACGATGTCAGACTCAGGTGCAAAATCCCTAAAACAAGCAAAAATGTGTCCTTCGAACATAAAAATGCAATTTTGGGGGCCAATTTGTGAAATAATCACAAAAGTTATTTAGGAAAATAACTATAAAATAATCCCTAAATTATATTTTATAGCACAAATTATATTTTATATTTAATGGATACGAGTCACTTCTACCTCTACCCTGAACACAAGTCACTTCTACCGCTACCTTCGTAGGGTGCCCTGAACACGAGTCACTTCTACCGCTACCTTCGTTGGGTGCCCTGAACCGAAAACCGAACCTGAACCTGAACCGAAAAGTATGCGATACAATTACACATTAAGTACAAGACAAGCGCTGAATTTTAAACCAATTGAATTGAAATTAATCATCTGGCTAATTTTACGATAAAAGCAATAATACAGTTTTGCTAAAGTTAATTTGCTATGATAAAAACAAATATTGTAAAAATTATCTTGTACATATGCGATACAATTATTCATGAAGTACATGACCAACGCTGAATTTTAAACCAATTGAATTAAAACTAATCATCAGGCCAATTTTGCGATAAAAGCAATAATACGTTTTCGCCAAAGTTATGTTGCTTTGATATAAACAAAAAATATTGTTAAAAGCGCAGGTAGGCATTATTAAGTTCATCTTCAGTTTTCTGGAACCTCATACTTGAAAAATAAATAGATTTTGGAGCTGCTTCCACATCCTTGCGAGGATATGTCAACACGTTCTTCTTACCCTTTTTAGGTGTTCTTGAGAAACATCATGGCAAGTCCGGTGCAATACAAGTCCCAAATCTAAAAAAGAAAACACATAATTTGCAAATTTCCAGTATTTCTGTTTAAAAAAGGAAAGAATAAGTTTTTTCAAACTAAAAATTATTATTATTATTATTAGAAAGTAAAATGTTATACCATTATCACTTTGAAACAATTCCGGCAATTCTTATGTTTGTAATATCTGAATGTACCATTTTCTATCGGATCCCCCAAAGGTAACAGAAGTGGAAATGACGGACAACACTCACAGCCAAGATTACCTAATTTGAAAAAACACATGAATATTAAAACACGAATAAACAAACTGGGTTTAGTGCAATAAAGAACACGAGCGTGAAATAATTTGTACGCGAGAAACGCGTGGCGACTATTTACGCGCAGAATAGGTATACCTGCTAACTCAGCCAAAGACCTGGTTTAAGATAGCTGTGATAAGAGCTAAAATACAATGTACACCTCATGTTTTTAATGGCACAGAAATTCAACTAAATTCAACTCAAATTAAATATCAACTGAATATTAAATACGACTACAAGGACTACAATTTTCATGAAAAGCAGGACGAAGAAACACCACGCACGTTGCCAGCAGGAGCAATAGGCGGCCGCTTTACCGAAATCAAATCTTAAATACGGCACGTGTCGATATTATTAATTATCTAATTTCATACTTACATATGAATCACAGCACTGAACTGAAATGTTCATTTTATCACTATATTTTCGACGTATTCACTTATATTAATATTTAGTTGTTTAACAACACTGAGCACATGCGTCCCCTGCGACAGAGTCACTGCAACTAAATAAATGTAGAAATGTTCTTCAAGCTAGGCAAAACAAAGTGCTTCCTTCGCGCAGGCGCAGATCACAAAACACGGCAAGCGCTGATGTGTGCATGCCACTAGCACAGGCGGAGCTGGGCGCTAATCGGTTTTTTTAGTCGATTGCCTTCGTTTGCAACTAACTTAATTCTATAGCTAATAATTTCCAGTGTTTTTACGAACACTATTTACCACGCAGTAAGCATTATTCGTTGTTCCGACTTGGCATTGAAACGTCCTTCTAACTTGTAACTTAATTTTCTAGTCCACTTACAAACAGTAATCACTAAGGCCAGTAAAACATTTAACTGCCGGTTCGGCATTATTTATGCTAAGCTGCACACGTTCACTAAGCTATTTGAAGAAAATGATTCCAAAAGTTGTATTTGTCCTGGGCTCACCTGGTGCTGGCAAGGGCACACAATGTCAAAATATAGTCAAGGTAAAAAGAACACTACTTCATACACTAGATTTAGAAAAACTGTTATTGATTTGATGTAATTTTAGCACTTTGGTTACAAGCATCTATCAGCTGGTGACCTGCTCAGGGAAGAGATGTCTAAGCCCAACTCAGAGTTTGGTGAAATGATAGACAGCTATATAAAAAATGGCAAAATAGTACCAGTAGATATCACTTGCTCTTTGCTAGAGCGATGCATGACACAATCAGGCAATGAGTACTTTCTTATTGATGGTTTTCCAAGAAATCAGGACAACCTGGATGGTTGGAACAGAAGATGTAATGATAAAGTCAAATTACAATTCATTCTCTTCTTTGATTGTTCTCTAGAGGTATTATTTATTTAAAACACGTGTATGCACGAATATTAATTATTTTTTAAACAGATCTGTACAGACAGATGCCTGAGCCGCGGCGCTGCAGGTAGTGGCAGGTCCGATGACAACATGGAGAGTCTTAAAAAACGCTTCAATACGTATCAGAATGAATCAAAACCAATAATTGAGCACTATGAGCAGATGGACATGGTGAGGAGGGTTGACGGTAATCGATCACCGGATGAGGTCTTCGCCGATGTGAAGAAGATCTTCGAGAAGTCAATGGCTGAGCCACAAGCGTAAACCAAAGCTACATAGGGTACCTATCATCAAACAAAATGGTGTTAGCAACATTCCTGATGTTCTCATTCCAAAAATATCTGTTACCCATATAACTTGCTTTTAATCAATTCAGAATTTACAATATGTATCATGGATTAAATGAATTTAGCCTATATATATATATAAATATATATGATGTCAATGTAATCTAACATCAGGAACGTGTAAAAAGACAAATAAATCAGATATAATTAATTTATTGACTTTTAAATATGATTAAAATAATTTTTGTTTAAAATCGTCAAATTTTACTTACTAAAAATAGGGGGGTGCCTTGTGCTTTCGTCAAAATGATGACCAAAATCGGTTCGTAAATGAGTTGAGATTAAAGCAAAATTTTAAAACACACACTTAGTACCAAAATCAGAATAAAGCAAGGCTATATGTTTCTGCGAGTACATATAGTTGCTTTAACATCGTTTTTGTTTGTTGTTGTTGTCGAAAATAAAGTTATTGAGTATACATTCTAACTATAATTTAGCAATACACTACAGACTTAAGCTATACAATCTGGACGCCACAACAACAGTAACAAACAGCTCAAGTCTTTAAAATTATTTCACCACTATCATACAAAATACAGTTGTGTCCATTCATTACTGCATCTGTCTGCTTGTGTCCATAATGTGTTTGTTGTTTTTGTTTTTATCAGAGATAAGATCCCAATATGGGAGGGAACGCACCACTCGACGATTAATTCATTTACACGATTTCCTCCGCGCGCGCGCGCTCGTTTTTAATTTAAGATAAATAATAAAATGGCATTACTCCCATTATGAGTGATCGGCGCTGATCCTCACTCACGTCCGAGTTGCAAATCATAAAATATATTACAAAATTTGTACGTATATATATAATAAAAAAGAAACCTTTGTCGGAAGAAATGAGAAAGGAGGGAAGTATGCTAAGTAGTAACGCAAGCTACTCGAAGTTGGTGTTAAAAATCTGCAGGTCCTCAAAGGCGGCACCGCCGGTCTGGTCGAGCATCTGCAGCATGTCGTTGAGCTCATGCGGTTGGGCTTGTTGGGGTGGGCCGGCTGCGCTTGAACCCGGCCCACCAGAATCCGAGCCCTGACTGGCCTGTCCCTGCCACGCCCACTGGTAGGCAGCGGCGGTGGTTGGCGCTCGTGCGCCGCCTCCAAGTTGAGTGTATGTGGGACCAGGAGACCGCGGGCTTGGTTGATTGTACTGGTAACCCTCGGGCGCGGCTTGCGGCTGCCGAATGTTCCACGGCGCCGCAGCAGGCGTCGGACTCGTCGTCGTGCCCTTCGCTATCCTACCAAGCACGGCACTACTGCTGGTGGCGCTTGCCTGCGACGGCGACCCGTAGGCAATCGGAGACTGCGTTGGTTCGTAGTTGCTGTACACATTCTGCCCGCTGCTGGGTCTCGGCACTTGTTGAGGTGCTGTCGGACAAATTCACATTACATTCATAATTCACCGATGATGATTCATACAAATCAACTCACTTTGTATATGCGTCGCTGGGAGCATATGTTGCGGGTATAAGCCCGTATCGCGTCGCTGCAGACTGTAATCCAACCCGGGTTGCTGATACGGCACCTGCTCCTTTTGCTCCAAAGGTGCTTCACCAGTGGAGTGCAAGGCTTTGGCTGTGGAATTCGTGCATACTATGTACTCCACGTCACCCGTGTGCGGATTCAAGAAGGCAAACGCTGACGTGCGCAACCAAACCCATTCTCTATTCTTGGCTCGGAATCTGTACATTACCGATAGCACCTGACCATTCAATTTTAGAACTGAAGAAAATAAAATCACCATTAGTACATTGTTAAAAATTCTGATATTTAGTGTATGCATACCTTGTTCAAAGCTATCCTTCATGTGTGTTTGGTCTTCCGGGTGGAAAAACTCAAAACAACTCTTGCCCAGCAGTTCAGGCGGTGCATATCCTAGCAGTCCAATGACACGCTGGTCCACAAAACTAAACTTCCCGTCTGAGGAATGACGCGATATAAACTCCGCATTGCTGTTGGAGCCGGAAAGCTCATTGGAGTTAGGCATCGAAGTGATTTGCAGACGCCCGATAGCCACTAGACAACAATGCGATGAATGGTGATCATCGTCAGGCTGACTACCACTAAACATTTCAGCCGGTGGCCAATTCTTGATGTATCCGGTGCAATGCACCACCGCATAATGCTGACCGTCCCTCGTCGGACCCAAACTGTTACGTTGTTTCAGTCGATTCAAATGTCCAACCGCCATGTTATCCGCCGCAATGTTACCCACTTTCATCCGACAGATAAAACCTCGCCTTGAACCCATACACAAACGCATCGAGGCTAAAAATAAAGGACCATTAATTTCGTAAAATAAAACAAAACATGGCGAGAATTTACCTTGGTGTCCTTCCCTTTTGACAGTACCAGTCTTGAGATCCAATATCCTGCCGGTGTTCTGCGGCTCTTGCGTAGAGAGCTGCTCCCGCACCTTTTCTACATCTTCGGGATGAATGTTGTCGTACATGCAGGAACCGTACCAGTCGCTCTGCGTATAATTGAGGACGGGTGCCACCGAATCGGAGACGTAAATAACTCGCCCCGTATCGCAGCTGACAACAAATAGGAAGCCGTCGGCCGCCTCTAGGATGAGATGCTTTAGTTCTTGATCGGTTAGGAACGACGGCTTGAAGGCGCCATCCGTGCCGGTATTTCCAGTCCCTAATAAATTATTCGAAATGTTTACTGTTTCTCTAATTCGTGGTAATTGCGAATGTGCAAACCACTCCAAAACGTAACACAATACAATGCGCGACAATGTTGCATCGTCATAATTTCCTACACGTTGCCCGCGGGCCTTTGTTTTGACTTATTGGTAACACGGTGTAACTTTATCCAGACCACGGTCATTGTGCAACAAATCGGCACATAAATAAGCGCGCGAGTTGCGTTTAGGTTTGCGCTCTAAACGTCACTCATAATTCATCATTCATTCGAGCGCGCGCGACAACCATCTTGCATTTTTTCGCGCTCGGCTGATCGATAGTCTCATAGACCCCGAATCGAGCGCGACGAATGATGATTGCGCGTATTTGCATTCGGTAGCAGCAGCAGGCAAAAAAACTAATAACGTGTTTGCCCACTTCTGCAATTTGCGCACCGTTGTTTAACTGCTGCTCGAAGGCACTCGTCGCGCGCTCGTACAAGCCTTCAGGCACGTAGAGATAAGAATTGTTATCTCTAATACTTTGTATCGATATACACACGCGGCGGGCGCGACATTAAGTAACGCCGTATCGCGTTTCAATAATGTGCAATCGTAATAAACTTCCTCGCACATGATAATGTTCATATGCGCACATAAATATTTGAATCACTTTTAATGCGCAAGTTTAACACTAGTACTCGAACAATGCGACATAAATATTGATTTATTTTATTTTAGAAACAACACCTTCCTCAAAAAAAGACTACACTAGAAGATAACAGTCATTGAAATCAGTTTATAGAATTTTGCATCATCGTCTGCGCTTCGCGCAACAGTAAATGATTTTATGCGTTTATAATGAACAGTTTATACGAATGCGCTCGAATCGGCATCGCATACGTGTTAATTAACACGTACGTAATTTGCTGGCTTATATGTGCCCATATACGAGGCGTTATAATCGGTAATGATAGAGATTTACCAAGCAGCCGAAGGAAAAGCCCCAGCGTATGTGTATGTGCGAGTGTGTGCAGTACGGGCTGCACACGACTTGGCCCCAGAGCGCGGGTGATGTATTCGCTGGCTGTATTTAAATAATAACAGCATTAATCGTATGTTTCCTCGACTCGGTGTCCCTTGGCCCATAACTAACAAGATAATATCTTAGTTTCCAAGTAACTCTCTGCGCGCACGGTGCGCAGCCTAGACGAGACCCAGCCGAGGCCCAAAGACCACTCTCGGAGCAAGAATGGCATTATACATTATGCCAACGCCAAAGCCCAAGTCGAAACGGTGCGCAGAACTCGCGAGGAGGCGAGAGAGCAAAGTTTCGCTCGTCTTTTGCTACGCTGACTTGACTTGGCGCATGCATGCAACTTTCTGTATCAGCGCCGAACGACGACACGCAGAACCACCAAGAGCTTAAACTTAAAACACCGTTAATGTTGTGCCGGCTGCTCGCATTTGCCATCGCATTACAATGCTGCTTACTTTCATAGCTGCGCTTTTATCATAAAACACACGGGACGGGACGCGCCGCGAACGGAAAAGAATTTATATGCAATATGGATATATGCGCTGCGCCAGTATGTCGCGATCCGCACGAAACAATCGAGAAGAATGTTTGAGTTACGAGTGCGCGATGAATACCTACCTACCACCCGAACAAGTAGCGACCAGGCGAGAGACCACAAACAAAACACATCATCATCGTGCGGCAATATATTATTTTATTCAACTATTCGGAAAAATATGCGCTACCTTTTGCATTTAAACCTGGCCCGAGCCTGCGTTTATCAGCCACACATCAAAAATGTCACATTTCCCAGCATGTGAAGCGTTTCCTTGTTAGTTCCCAGCGCACATAATACGCTCCTCCTAAAAGACATGATATTATAGGCGCGAGTGGCCGTTTTTCGGCCGCAGCGCAAGCACAATAAAAATGTGGGGGCACCGGATGAGCAATTCGCGTCTTGCATACTGAAATACAATTGAGTCCTAACAAGTACAATGCCCTTCTTAACAATTACCAACCGCGCAGCACATACACAACATATTAGCTATCCTAGAAACTCATAAAAACTGAATTGTTTGAATGACGAAATTTGTATGCAAACCGCGACGGATGGTCCGAACACATTTATTAGGGTTCGACCGTGCGAGCGTATAATCCTGTAATCAAATCATTTCCTCGACGCCGATGTGTAAACGAGCGCTTATTAAATTTCATCGGCGCATTAAATTCCAATCGTTTAAACGTTCCGAGGCGAAATTTTTCCTTGTGAATTTTTCGATTTTTTTCGAAAACGTTTATCAGCCGCATGAATTACTTAATGACTACCTTCGGCTACCAAAAAAATAAAATAAAAAGAACAGAACATGAAACTGTAGAAATATGCGCGCAGGTTTCACCTGTCTCGATACGTCAAAAGCACAACAACAAAAAAACGCTACACGAGTTAAACTGTTGCGATGGCATTAATGTTTTACTTTTTCAAGATGGCGACGGCGCGCAGTGGTTCAATTGCGGTGCATTTCGCAATGACCAGCGCGCCACCGATTTCGAACGGATAAATAAATTACGACGTAGTTAATATTCAATAAAGACAATGGTGACCAACAATACGAATATGATTGCGACGGCGGTCGGCAATGACGCTGACGACCGCCGGATGGACGTACACGCCATTGTTTATCCATTTGTATGCGTCGCGATCGCCGCGATGCAATCGGTAAATATTCAAAATGGTGGACGACAAGTCGACAAAGCTACTATTCTAGACAAATTTATAAACACTCCCCAATATTTTAACTATCCGGTGTAAATATTGAAACATTTTCGATTGGTCGAAATGAGAAAAATCCCGCATTGCTTTTGTGTCGGTCGTCGATGTTTGATTGATGGGTCAGCGCCGAGAGCGCAATGCGTTTGACGTACGAGAATACGAAAACGTTCAAAAACTCTAAACGCCAAACCGAAAGCGTAAACCAAGTCTACTTAACGACCTGCTCAATCGGAACGAGAAAACAACGCGCTGCGTTGCTTCGTGTTGATCGATCTAGATTTATACGTAATTACTTTCCGAAGAGGCGAAGCCACTCTTCAAAAATCGACGAAAAAAGACAAAGTCAACATTTTTTCGTCTCGCGCATCACCTCGAGTCAAATTTAAATTTGATATTAATTTTTATGTACATATGTACCGCGTGAATGTTGTGAGTGTTTTAGTTTCGCCTTGTTTGCATGTGTAAACACATACAACACACGCTGGCGCGGGCCAGGGGAGAGCAACATTTCGATTTATTTATTAAATCTCTCGCGTCGGCGCATGTCTGGCCGGCCGCTTAAAAAACACTTAAACGAGAAATTGTAATGTGTCACGCGTCAAAGTCTCGCTCCGGGTGTCCGAAGCGCGCTTTGTGGCCGGAGCCTGAAATTAATATAACGCCTCGCGCGCCCTCACGCTGTTCCCCAAGCGCAAGCAACGCGTCGTCATTATTTATCAACAGCGCCAAGTTTTATAGAAGTTTCTTGGAAATGAAAAAAGAAAAATCCGCATCGCAGAATTCAAATGCTTACCTCGCAGGGCCTTCATGTGGGCGACGGCCATCCGCAGAATGGTCAGTTTGTCCGGCTTCCGCGCGAGCGCACTGCACGTCGGAACCATATCGGACAATTCGGTGATGTAGGCCGTCATCTTGTTCCGCCGCCGCCTTTCGATTTCGCAATGATTCTCCCTACAGTAAGAGGGAAAAACAGTCCAAGGTAATTATAGGCATTTAAACAATCCATGTACATCTACCCAAAACAAATTTATCTAAAATCATCATCGTCAATGAAACAAAAGGAAATGTTTATCGATTCGACTCCCAACTTAGCTGTAATGTTTCTAGTTTACGTCTGAGTTGGAAGACAATGTCGTAAAACGTCCACTGCGCGCTGGAATGATTGAAGTACAATCTTTGAATGTCGGTACTAAGGGGGCAGCAACCGGGCAACCGGGACAAAGGACATAAATGCACCTGTACTTCGAAACAAGAGCTTATTTCTTATTTCGTCTGCTGACCCCACAAACCGCAACCTAGCAATCTACAAACATCTAATCAGCATAAAATGAGATGGAAAGTCGGCGCATGTAAAACCAAAGATTACGACACCACAAAACCGATACCGACTATAATAAGAAGTCTGTCGAAGTGCCTCCACTCTCCGCTGGAGATTGTCTTAATCGTAACATGTTGATCACACCACGTGGCATCGATGCGGCGCTCGCCTTGAAAGCGACGGGCGGTTAATTAAGAACATAACAATTATCATCATCCAAACGCTTGCAAATGCGATTGAATGTTAGAATACGGAATACATATTGCCCGCTAGCATTGGAAAGGTGCAATAAGTTGATGATTCACTTATCCTTATTGTTTAACCGCTAAATTATTACCTATCGATTACCCGCCTATCTATCCGTGCGAAGAATGCCCGCCGGGTCGGCGTTTGATAAAAATCCACATCGCGAAGACGCAGAGACGCCAGTCGCACGCTGTTATTACGCGGAGGCATGAAGGAGGCGGAGCGGCGGTAATTTGAATGCGATTGGCTTGTACGACACACAGCGCAATTTCAAATTGAGTCGTACGGAATCAATTCGGACGATGCGGGATCCAAAGTATTTTTTTTTGTTTTACGCGGAGGTCCCCTGGTTGAAAGTGTTTTGGAGGCTGCGATTGAGACTCAATCATTGCGCATCACATGCGTACATGAGAATCTGTAGCAACATGATTGCGGTAAATAATCAATAATTGACGGCGGGCTAAATAATAATGATTATCTCGGTTACTGGACGTGGGACCGCTCTCCGGCCTGGGTCCGGCCGAAGCTAATGGTCGTAATAGAGATTACAGAGGCATATAATGGGCCGGGGCAATTGCGGGCGCGAGTGAGAGCGGCATCCGACCCGGTGCGGTGCCGGTGTGCGTTCCGTATGATCGCCGGGGCACAACTTCGCCGCTTATTATCCTCATTCTGCAGGGGTGATCAAAGTTCGCAGTACAGAAGTACAAATTAGAATTTGGGAATTCGAAAACCGAACGGAGACAATATGCAGACCGTCGTCACAAAATCCACTTTTAATCAAATACAAGTGCCTAGTAAGTATGACCAGGCATCACTTGAAAGAAGAGTTTACTTGGCATGTAGAAGAAGAAGAATAAGTACCGAGAAGTCTTTGGTCTTCTAGGAGAGAGCGAGCGCAGCGCCGCTCAAATCGAAGGTATGTAACCTTTTGCTAGCGCGCGCGGATTGCGACACTAGGAAATAAGAGAGGATCCATCCGCACGGTGCTCGCGGGACGTAGAGGGGCGCCGCGGCAGCGTGGGAACCAGCGGCCGCCGGTCGCCTCCCCCGCGGCCGGTCACGACTGCTCGCAAACACGACGGCCCGCGATGCTCCCTTTTAATGCGCTTCGGTCGGCGCGACCTCCGCCAGCGCGAGGAGAGCACTCTCCTTTCGGACGCGGTAAATCAGAGCGCGCAAGACCCCATCGCGTGCCTCGTTATCCATTGACTAAGGTCATCTCCGCCACAACACCACCAAAACGGGGGGCGCAATCAATTTCATTCTAATATGGATCAAATCGATTTATTTCTCCGCCAAGTTTTTCTTCTTTCATCTTTTCTCATCTTCAGACACAAGACGAGAGAATGATTTGCCCCATGGTCATGTTGTTAATGCAATTGTTATGCACGTAAATTGCGTTGCATCGATTTACAGCTAAACGGCGTTAAACATTTCGTGGAATCGTTCAGGATAATTTCAATAACGAGTGTATAATGGCACAAAATGAATCAATTTCCTCTTTGCAGATAGTTAATTTCGCAGAGTAAAAACTGAAGGCAATTATTATTGAAATTTATGCCGAGATAATTATCGAAAAATTGCCGAAAATATATTACATCACGCAAGTGAAGAATAATTATTTCTTCAAAATTACCAGCAAAACGCAATTTTGCAAAAATTAAGAAAAAAACGAAGATATAATGAAGGTGCACTCAACCGGAACATACATTACGCTCGCGTCGCGGTGATTTACAACTTTCCATTGGTTTATTTGTGCGATAACTGATAAACGCTGCGATTCCTTAGAAACATTTTACTTACAGTGCGACTTTGGTTTATTACACGTTGCAAAGTCGGCACACCGTCACTGAGACTAGTACCTCACGACCCAAAACAGACATTAATTTTTAATTGTCACCCGCGTTTCTTATCTTCACTTGCAATTCGCAAATTGTAGGTGAAAAACTTCACCGCTCACATATTCTCGCCTCTCTACGTCTACTAGTCTAGCTGACTACACACGCCGATGATATGTTATTAGAGATTGCAGAGTATGCGTTCGAAAATATATTATACCTGCCGTTTCTTGCGAGTCGCGCGCGCGGTGTGACGCGATGCGCGAAGCAGTCCACGACGAAGAAGATACGAAAGCATCGTGAGCGCGCCGCGCCGCGCTCGTTCCCAGCCCTTTATTCAAACCTACTAATAATTAATATATCTGTACCACAATTAAGGAGGTGTGCTGCGACCTATGTCGGCCGGCGCGCGAGCCTCGTACTTGCTGCGAGAGAGAAACTCGCAAGTGATTCTAATAAAGATGCGCCGCGCGGTCAGATAGCGTTAAAGACCCATAGACGAGAGTGGAGCGCGAGAGGAGCGAGAATTCGGCATATTCACCAAACGCGTTTTGATGATTTCGATCGCGATGTGATCGCACACCGGCAATTACGACGTCTAATTCTAATTGGGCAAGTTGGACGATAACCAAAATATCACGCTCTCCGACAAATTTTCTCATCAGGACACCACACAACACAAATAGGAATAAATAGATACCTGGCAAAGCGCTCCTTGTCCTGAATACTGTCGTCTTCCATTCTTGCGTATTTGCCTCCACTCGGGTCGTCCTCATCTGACCTGCAACAACGAAACAAATTAAAATCATACAACGACACAATAATCTCCAATACCGCCATGTGTTGCGGTATTTTAATTTACCTCCGCGCATAAACATGCCGGGTATGAATTACGAAGAATGTCAATGAATAACGTGTGTACACGTAATGGATATCATTACGGCCGCGGGAGAGAACGAAAAGTGACGATTTAAATGACTCGAGACAAACGCTGCGAGATAATTAGACGTTTATACAGTTATGAAAATAATGATTCCAAGAACCGGCGACTTTCAGCTCTTTTAGCGCCGACGTCGTCGTCGTCGTTGTCGTCGTCTTTACGTTCCGAGAAGTGCATTAGCGTTTTTAATTTCGTTTTAGAACGAAAAAATCCAGCCGCACACAATTGTGCTACGTAGCAGGGCACACAGAAACTGCTTTTGTTTCATTTCTAGCTATAATTATCGTCGAAAACATTAAAATTCGTTGTCGTATTTTAAACAAAGTGAGCACATTTAAATTTAAATACCCAGGATAACCACCGTTGTTTTTCTCGTCTCGTACAATAAATAATTTATACGCTGTGTGATCTTATCTCGAGTTATAAAAATACCACTATTGTACGTCAATAAAATCACATAAAATCAATGAAATCATAAATAACGATAATTACCGTGCGGCAAAAGATGCCGCAACTGCGAATGATGAAATAATGAGGTTTTTAAACGCGCACTCGAAAAACAAAACAAAATACAATTTTAATTCCGGTACTTGAGTACTGAGTAAACTTATATGTGTAACGATTAAACGCAATAGTGAGTTACGACGCGTTGAAATTGCCTCTCGAACGAGCGCGACGGGAAAACAAGCGCGCGTTCTAATGATGATAAGCCGCCGCTCGCTCTCTTCAGCGCCGAAAATATATGAAGCAATCTAAACGAAAACATTTGACGCACAATACCTATGCATCAATTTATTACCGCTCATTACATTGCGGAACAATCACCGCGGCAATACTTTTATTTAAACGTGACCCACATTTGATTTAATTTTTACATCTTTATTGATTGACAATCGTAAATAATGCATAATATTCCATACAGACGTATTTTTTTGTCATTCTCGAATTTCGTTCAATGGACACAACGGTTTTCCAACGGAATTTTTCAGCCATCAGCGAAAAAACTAGGGGAACAAAAGGCATAACGCAACTTGTGGCGCGCGAGCGTAATGAAGTTGTTTACAAGCGCAGGAAATTTGATGCGGGGGCACGTCGCATGGCGAAATAATGTGCGCGGTCGTGATTGGCAATCGCGCGATTACAATTGGCGCAATTGGTCGCGAGGCCGACGACAGCTGCGCCGGAGTTAATTGATTGATCAATTAGCGCCCGATACCAGCGCGTCAACAAGCCAAGTATTCTCCGAAGAACTAACGTGCTTGCTGGATTCTTCGCGTGGCTAGAATTTCGTCGAGTGGCGGCGAAAAATTTGAAATACGCTTCGATGTAAATTTGAGTACTCGCGCACGATGTGGTTTATAAACGAGTCGCAATATGCCGTAAAAAGCTTTGTTTAACATGTCAAATATATGTGCATACATCGAATAAATTCCATTGCGCTCTCGCAAGGAAAGCAGAACAAAAGACCTCATTACAAACAACTCAAACTCCGCTCGAAAGTATCAAAAATGCATCGGTGAAAAAGCATTTGCGGCATTTTTTCGGTCAATTGTCCGTCAAATAAATGCTCGCCGAGTGAAATTTATTTGTCACATCAAAATGAAGTTATAGCCCGCCCCATGAAACCAGCACGCAACATTTATATCATAACATACAAGTTTTTATATGCCTGTATTTTAGTGCGCGCGTTCATGATATACTTTGGGGGGCTACACACAAACCGGACTGCTTTATCGCTTTCGTATTTATATTTTAACCCGGCGAGTTATTTCTTAATAGCGTGCGGGGCCAACAAACCAACAACCAGCCAAAACACTTCAATGAAACGAATATTTGCCACAGTAACAGCCACAAACAAAAACTAATATCAACAATCAAAAACGTTCGCTACAAAAAAGACAGGCGCATAGATTGAGATGTGGGGAGATGGTGCGATTAAACACACAAAAGCATCAAATGCAGCAAACATATGTCCATCAAATTATTTTATTTTACGTATGAGAAGAAAAGAAAATAACGATTTATTGGTTTGTCAGCGTGCCATCAAAGTGCGCTGTCTGCGTATGACAAGATGACAACTTGATGCATCATTGCATACGCATATCAACATCTCTACATCTTCATTGGAATCTATTAGTACGACGTTGAGCGACAAGCATATCGAGACACACGTCGATGCTGTTTGATTATCTATCAGCTTCTAATGCTTCGCGGTAACGTCCAACGAAAGTTTTTCTTTGTGTTACATACGCATGAGATTTAATGTTACAACGCTGCACAAGTATTAAATACACTCGCCTGTTGTAAGTTTGTATGAAGTCTGTCAACACGCTTATGATTTATAAATCTCAACTCGTAGGTAATTTATACATAAGTAGTAAATGGGAACGTGTGGCAGAAAAAGTAGGTGAAAACGCAGAACGTGCAAATGTGAAGAAAAGTAAAGAAAAACCTCGGAGTACTGGTTTGCCTTTAGTTTAATAAGTAATAACTTGCGCGGTGTTGAGAAATCAACACTACTCAACAGTCAGATTTAACTAATCTGAACATATTTGTCATGCACCAATTCAATCTCTTGACACCTTTGAATGTAAAACAACAAAGTAGATATTTTCAAAAAAGTCCGGTTTCTGAGTTAATTAGAAATTCAGTTTACTAGTTTATATTGTTGTGGTTCGTAGCTGAGTTCGCTTTAATTGAAACATTCGTTTCGACAAGATGAACACCATACTCGTTATAATCATCTAACACAAATTCAACGAAAGAATAAACCAGACAATGAATAACGAGCGCGTTTTATAGAGTCACTGGCGAAATGTGCACCATCAACATAATTACGCGCCTGTGCACACTTGTTAAAACATTTTAATTTTAATTAGAATTTCCACAACTCAACTCCACTGAACTCCATGTACTATTCCTAACTAGGCTTATAATAAATCGAGTAATAATTTATTATGATGATTGCGATTAGTCATCGGGCTCATCGGGGAATGAAAAACAACGGTTGAAATTAAAACTAATGATACACGAGGCGCGCAGTATGATTTCGGAGATTCCGAACGAGAGAAAATCACAAACGAAATCATCAATCAAGCACGAAAATGAAGGGGGGCAAGTACGGCACGAAGAAGAAACAGAATGAAGAGGACATGTCGATATAATAATAACCAGGGCCATTGTTTCGCGCGCGCCTAATTGCCGTGCATTAATAAATAACGCCGTGCGCGCTGCCCCGAACAAAGCCACGAGACGACCATTGCGTTTTCTAACCCAAATAGTTGCGTAGAAAGTGCACGCGCAGCATTTAAATTAAACAATTCAATAACAATGCGAAATCATCGATTCGAAGAAAACTGGCGTCACAAAAACATCTGTGCAACCCATACTAGCGCCATCTGTTTGTCAATAGACGCGATCAAAAATCAACCGTTAGTGTCGCCATGTTTATACAGGCACACATTTTAATAACTTTATTTAGTAGTAAAATACGAAGGGTTGCAGACTATAAAGTTTTAATTGGCCAGATATCGCGGCATTGATAAGCGTTTTAGTGTGATATAAAGATGATAATAAAAAAAGTTTAGTGTGCAAAAATCGCCGACGCGAGAAAGTCGTAAAAACATAACCTCCAATTAAATTACTAAAAGCTAAGGGGTTAATTAAACGTCTTGATTATCACGATAACGAGGCTGGGTGTAGTTCGGGTTTGTTAACTTTACAACTGTAAAGTTGGAGTTTTAGGAAGATGGGAATAGTTTTTGATAAGCCGAGATTATTAAAACATACAACTTACAAAAACGGCGTATTATAATAGCGCGTTGTTAATGCATGTTTATTGTCGCAAGCGCGCAACATGAGAGAGAACACGGAACAAAGCCATGCGGAGGCAGATTACAATATCCACCACTTGCAACCCCCGCGTCTGGAGCGCGCTGCTCACATCCCGTTTTATTCCGGTAGATAATGTTTGCTCTCTCGTTCAATCCTATTCTACTAAAACCCTAAAAACGTTATTGCAGACTACAAAGGGTTACAATGTTAACAATTTAACCCTTAATATTAACAACCCGAATTTTATTAACAAAAATCGAAATAACCAAGATAAATTTCCACTTATTACAAAAGAAAAACATTCTTTATGAACAGTTACTATAATATTTTTATATTTCTGGGTAGTTAGTGTATTTACACAAGGTTTGGTAACCCTTTCTATAGTTTCTACCTACCAACATGGAAATGAGCGTAATACGAGCGTAATAAAACCTTTCAAAGTTTCGCGTTCTCAAGCGCCCCACGACCAGAAGCATTAGCGCGTATAACCTACCCTAAAAACTTCTCATCATATATTATATTCCTATACAGGATGTTTAATTACAGGTTTTTTTCTAATTCCCGCTTTTTAAAACTTGCAACATTGCAAATCTCAATTACTGGTTGTTTTTGTGCAAGAGTGAAAGGGTAAGCAGCGCACACGGATCCATCTTTAAAATTACCACACATTTCGCCTTCTAATCGCAATCTAATGCGAAATCTCCAACCGCAAACTTTGCCCGACCCGCCGCGGTAATTATCCGTCCTCCGCACTAAAAAAGTTAGTTAAGAACACCCAACTCGATTTGCATGCAATAAATCGTTCCATTATCTCAATACGTTTCTTTATATTATTATTACATTTTAAAATGTACTTTTAAAACGTATCTGATGGATATGTGTTTATACATTTTCAAAAATCTATTTTTTTCATTTCACAAGGACGCAAAACGTAAAAAATAAAAATACAAATTGTAACAAGCGATAATTATCACATCACCAGCCGGATGTGTGTGACGATCGTGTCAGAATTGCCATAAATCGACGGGCGTTTGTTTGCGGGCGGATTATAACGCGCGTCGAATATGTTGTAATTAGGGATGATGGGGGATGACGAGCGATCGCGCCGCGCCACTGGATTAGCGCGCTCGTAAACGGCGCTCGAATGTTTGATATGGAATTAAACCGATAATATCGACGCGCGCGTATTGTACCTGGTGTTTGCCGCCCCCACCAGCAGCTTCTGCAGCGCGCACCAACGCGTTAGTTTGTTGCCGCCGCGTCCGCCCGCGCCGCAACTCCACTAAATCTGCGTTACGTGCCGCGATCTGATGATAACGGTCTCATTAGTAAACCGTAAATCGCCGCGCGCGATAGCAGCAGCCGCTAGCCCTTTAAGTAAATACGATATTTATTGCTATAATGTCCGTATATAGCAAAGGCATCGGACGACGCATTGAACACCGGGTCGCAGCGCAACTGCATATAATAGCGCGCTAAAAATATAATCGCCGAGTAATAAAATTCAAATCCGAAATCGAAGCATTTAAACGTTTTTTGCGCTCATTGCTCAGCGGCGCAAGCTGCCAGAGGGACTTATACACATGCCAATCAATTATAGAACTGTTTACTTTCCTTTCAGTCTGGAAGTAGCTTGTAAATCACCCTAAACGACCAGCAAAAGTTATTTGATGTAAAAACCTTAAAAGATATTATGAAAACTACCTACATAAATTACCGCAAACATACTGCAATTTTTTTCTTTATTATATTCTATACCTATAACCCCTTAATAATTACGTCTCGTCCTGTTTGCCTAACTATGACTTCGTTAAAACAAACTTCTACGCTATTAAAAACGTATTAAGAGGCACGCGGTCATCGAAATTCGTATATAAACACGTAAACGATGCTAGTTTACGACTATTACGCATATTAAAACTATTTAAACCGTCATCCATTGACTGCAACATTATCAAAACTACTTTAATAGGTAAAATTTGATATTAATTGAGAAGTTTCCAACTGACAATTTACAATGGCTGGCAGGTATTTTTTCTACGCACTAAAATTTGATTTTTTTAGGCTCAGCAACGGGATTTGCTAAATGCAGCCATTCGCTCGCAGGACGCGTCCGAGAATGCAACAAGCGTTTTCGCCGAGCAGCAAAACACACACATTCACCCAATTTTATGCCTTTGGGTCCCGCAACAGGAAACGAGATCGAGGCAAATGTAAATCAAGTCGTAAAAAAAGAAACACATCACGAATAAAAGATTTACACAAATGTTTAAAACACTGCCGCCTAAATCGCGCATTTGCAAATTTTCAAATTAAGTCCAAATATTCAAAAATTATAAGTGAAAGCACAGGCACAGGGCGTTGAATAATTATTAACTACACAAATTAGTGTTAATCTCAAACTACTATAATCCACAGTAACGATTTAATGATATGTACGCCTAGGTGTTTGAAACAATGCTGTTGGGAGGGAGGTCATCATTAAAAAGATAATTATTGAGTATGTGTGGCTCAATGCATATGAACCGCCGCGAAATATACATGACACCATGTAACATACAAGTAAATAGGTGGTTTTTGGCCACTCCTACGTGACGAACTGCTAGCCAATAATCGACAGCCGACTTTCCATCACCAGGTGGATAAAAGTCAGTTGAAAGGTGAATTTATACATTTTAAAAGGCGAATATGTAAGAAAATTTGCTGCAAAATGAAATATTTTCATTTAATTTCATATTGCATCATGATTAAAAACGAAATAAAAGTGTGAGCTAGTGATGTAGTCTTAGTTCGCAGCGGCGGTGGCGGCGACGAGTTTAATATGCAAAGATGCGCTTCACACTAGACACCACCGCCTCCGACGCCATCTCCTTCTCCACCTCCAACCGCGAAACGTATTAAAGACGTATAAGCTCTTGATATTAAACAAGCGCGCTTCCTTTTCTTCACCCGCTTATTTTTATGCTCAAGGATTTTCTCCAAAGGGTAAGGATCAGCATTAGAAAAACAAGTATTATTCTATTTCCAGTTTACGTTTCATTCAGCATTAAGAATTCAGATCCGTAGGTAGAATGCATACGTTTTCGCGGCTGCAGAGATTCCTAATATCCCATTTTCTGTTTAGCATGTTTGGCGCCTTACAATTCATTGCCGCCGCGAAAACAATGCCCTTCCAACAGCGCCACCTTCGCAGCAGCTGCATGTAAATGCAATCATAAATCGCCACCGCAAGCGCAAATTCTTATCGCTCGTTTTATTTCCATGCAAACAATGCAACTTACCGAACATTACTTCACAGCTACCCACCACCAGATGTCACCAATACGAATTACATGCTATTTTGAAGTAAAAAATAATAAATCTTAATAAAACCTTGACTGATAGTCTTCAGGTGTGCAATGAATACGCACAGGTATACCTGATACTAAACCATTATGCTGTAACAAGCCCTAAACCCACCCAACACAAATCACGAGAATATTTTCAAAGTTCAAAGCTATTTAGCGCGCATCTGGGCACCCCCCGAAAACTTTTCTTTATTTCTCGCTTAGCCGGCATGTTGTTATAAGGCGTTCGGGGCCAGAAAGGAATTACTTTACAAATGTGAAGGAAACTAAAAGTTCAAGTAACACCCACCTACACAACGGCCACACATACGGGCATGTTGCGTATATGATGAGCACAAGAATGAAAAAAATCTGAAATTTTCACAAGGGCGCTCGCCAGCTCACCCTGAAAATCCGACTTCCGAGGGGTAGCTAATGAAATGTTATTTCTCTTCGCTGGCGTCGTAATAACGTCGCGCCGAATGTCACACATTCGAAATTTACATTTTTCGCCAGCACCAGAGAAGGGGAGGATGAAAAAATGAGACGCAGCCGTAAATGTTCCCGAAATACAAATGTTATGTCATCACAAATCACACAACACATGTCTTGCATGTTTAGAAACACCGAATTCTTTTTGATCCGCGCTTATGGCTAAAATTTGAAAGTACGCAAACCTTCGTTTTAATTAAAAACCGTTCATGTGCATATACGAGCTTAAAAAAAGATGAAGAAATTCCTGATAATTACTAGGTAATGATGCAATTAAAAAACATTAAGCCATTTCTTGATTCAAGCTCTATACACACAAATACACGGCCACTTTCGTCCGATTCAATCTCAAAGCCGGGATTACTTATATTTATAAATACTCGAAGAATTAATTGTAATTGGTCTGTTGTCGGCCGCTGCGCCAGCGGCGCTGCTTACGTCATCAAGTTTTTAATTTATTTTCAATACAACACAATAAACGCGAACCGTTTTATTAATTATATCGTGGTTGTGCTTGTGTTATAATGTTACCAGCGGAAAACCGACTACGCTACAATTTATTTCAATAACTTCATTAATAAATATTTGGATGTTATTGGTCTCAACTTACATGTTATGTTCTGCATGAAAATGTCGACGTTGTCAATATGTTGAAATTAATTTTTCGCTTGATAAACAATTTTTACGCAATCCGTTGACACGTTTCATATCAATAACAATATTGTAACATTACATTTGACTTACATTTTGATGAAATCTTATGCAACACTCACCTGAAACAAATAAACAAATATAAATTACATGTTAATTGGGCAAGAAAAAGTTTAAAACATAATAAAATATTGCGTATTCAGCGATTTTTGTGTAAACGAGATGTACCTTCGTCGTTTCGAATAATGCGCGACCGGCATAGGCGCATCCGGCGGCATGGGCATCGGCGGCACTTGCGAATGATGCGGTGGCGGAGGCGGCGGTTGAAGATACGTTGGTGGCGGCGCATAGTGTGGGGGGCCGCCCCCCGCAAACGAGTACATATCCACCTTGGCGGCTGTGTTGACAACGCGCTTCACAAGAAATATGTGCCACACGCACACACCCGCAACTCAAACTTTGAACTTTGTATCACACTATATTATCATATCACAACAAGATTAAAGGATCGTACGCACACGCAGCGATCAGGTGAACAACAACAACCACCGCGTTGGCATTGTCGTCGGCTTGTTTTTGCGCCCGATTCAACCCGTGAACAGATTCTCTCACACGGCGGCAGCAGCGCGGTATGCACAACGACGAGCGCCGGGCCACACTACCGCACACGCGAGAGAGTTTCCCATCCGAGGTGCCGAGGTGCGCTTTTGGGGCAGCGGGCGCGCGCGTAGAGTGGGGCCGGCGGTCTCGGTCGCGCTCGCGCCGCGCACCAACAGGTATATCCATTGTGGGAAGCTACCCCGTCGCGGGCCTGCCTTCCCATTACTCAATTCGCGCGGCGGACGAGCGCGCGAGCCGGCATTGCAGTCGCCGTCCAGCGAGGAGTAAGCTCGCGAGTGTGAATCAAACCGACTGAAATCGTCGTCCGACGGCGGAGTGCACGAGAAAAGTTTCGAAAACGACGCAAAACACAAGCAAATCATACCATCCGAGTGAGTACATTGTAATTTTACGTAAAACTACCAACTATTTACTTACATATCCTCATAAAATGCGATTTTTGAAACATAAACGTTTGTTTTATGAGAAAATGCGTTGCCTAACGTATCCATAAGTAAATGTTGAATAAAGTATGCTCGTGTGCCGATGATTAATTGAAATTAGATTGCGGAGGAGAGGAAAATGCGTAATTAAGATCGGCGCGGATAAGGTAAAGTCGTCGTTTTCCCCTCCGGCGCGCACCGGCGGCGGCCTAACGACTTGTTTAATTAAGGCGAGCGAATGCCGTACAAGAGAAGATTACACCGTTCATCTTATCATCTTGCAAAAGATACCGGCTGCTCGAGAAATTGTTATCAAAAACAAATAGAACTTCACTCTACATTATAAAACGGCGTAATTATCGATGAAAAATTGATTTCGCATGCAAATATCGCCGCGTAAGCAAAATCCCTCCCGAATGTTGCCGCCGACGGAATAAAACATTTTTGGTACGCGGGATGAAGCACCCACACACATACACAATACACATAGACGCACAACCACGGTTCTTGCGAGTCAAAGCGTTCGCCGTCGGAAAATATGCAACGCGCAACCAAGAAGCGAAGCCCTTCATCGCAAAGGTAAACTCGAGTATTCTCGAGGAAGCCTTGAGAAGCGAGATTGATGTAAAGATCGCTGCCGCCCTCGCGACAGCGACACACATGCAGCGGACGAACACTTTGCCGCGCGAGTTGTACACACAGAGTCGAAAAAGGGATAAGGTAAGCTGCGAGATTAAGCCAGGGCGCGCGGCATCAGTATTCATGAAATAGGGTTTTCCCATCATCCCCTCCGCGTCCTGGCCGCCGACAAACGCGAACGAACTTCGCTCGTGCCGCCGCCGAGGTGGATTTTTGCGCACAGGTCGCGCGCGGGATAAGATGCAAAGCTTTATAAATGATGTGTCTATAAAGTTAAGGCACTAATAAACTTAATGCAATCGAAAGCCGCACGATGTTGTTCTGCGTACGCAGAAAATGAAATTCTTTAGAGGCGCGCGCAGCAATAAATCACAATAATACACTTGCAACACATTATTGGAATTGTTGGCCATAATGACGGTAATAACAATTACAAATAATTGCAGTGTTTTTTTTTTCTGTCTTATTGTTGTTGTCCGAGCATCATTGTGGAAGAAAACCCCGTTGACATCATCCGCGCGCGCATTTGCAATTTTAATTCAGTTCATTATCATCTTCATGCCGATGAATTAATTTCACCAATCAGACAATTACCTACCTTGCAAATTTTTTCTTGCACATCATCAATGCAAGGATTTTTCGAGTAGGTAAATGGTCCCCAAATAGTATACACATATAGTGTAATAGCCTTGCGAGAGGAGAACGGTCATAAATTTTTACCGCCTGTTACGCGTGACGTGTGAACGTGAATGGCCATTCGAAATCTGTTCAGATAGACATCGAGGTGCCGGTGCCGGGGAAAACACCTTCACCTCGGAGGACCACTAAAGATGACGTTTTTATGAATGGCTAATGAAAAATGTGCACCTGACTGTGTCAGTTCCGAGTAAACAGGTAACAAGTAACAACCTGCGGCCGGATGCTGCAGCTACCTGAATTTTTAAGGGAATATACGAGTAAAGCAAAAAAAACTTTGAAGATAAATAAAATACAGTTATGAATATAGATATTCCCAGAAAAGTGAGTAAAACTTGTAGATTAAAGCGATACTTATAAAAATACAAATAAAAATAAAAAAACACGCGCGATTGCATCTGGGTGCTTCACTGTCCATAAAATTACAAAGCTAAAAACAGCACGATCAATAAACCCAGCGGCCACGGCACAATTAAGATTCGGAAACCTTCAAAATACTAAACTTTAAACTATTTTATCCAGCTTTATACAACAAATAGCTCTTAAGAGAATATTTACAACCGGAAACCTATAATTACGATCAAAAATGCTTGAATTTATTCGAGAAGCAAATCAATTTTAAAGATTTCCAACGAAAACCATACGAAATGTATCGAAAGCCAAACATAAACGTAGAGCGAGCGCTCTTTTTTGTGCATACAAGCCGCCCGTATTCCTATAAGAGTTTAAGATATATATAACGTATACAAAATTACATTTTGCGTGGAAAAGCCAAGCCGCACAACATTTCGGAAGATTCAATTATGATAAGCGGAGTTATTCCCAACAGCTTATCAGTTAATAAATAGCAGTCGACGGTGGTGCGCGCCGGCGATACTTTTAGCTATCATCTCCTGTGCCTGCGCGCTTTTGCCCTCATTCTTTCAAATTAAAACGTTCCCCCAAGACGACCACTTGTAATAATAATAATAATCACCCTTAGCGTACCTCCAACAGCCATTAATTAATGACTTTAGTTATTATTATTGACCAATGAGCAGTTAAACGATTACAATTACTAGTTTCGTCGTAGGCGTCCAGCAGTTTGATAGATGCGACTCCGACTGCTCATTGTTTGGTTACCTACGGCTTCGTAATTATAATCGACTCATCAATTAAGTCTAATTAAACAGCGCCCGGCGTAATCTAGTACAGGCTGCACGACACGGCCGTTAATTAAACTTCACCTACGCCAGCAACGCGACATTGTGCGCTGGATACATGAATGTTAAATAAGGCTGCAATGGCCCAGAAGTGAATATGTTGTTGTGGTGCCGCAACTCAAAAGAGACAATGTGGAAATAAAGCATAAGGTACACGCTGCGCCATCTGTCGAGCACGAGTATAACTTGAGTTGTAGCAGCTGCAGCAGCAGGATACAGAACAATTTACGCGATACACCAGCGAAAGTTTAGTTTCGTTCGTTTCTAAATTAATTTTTAAGAATGCAACAACACTCAATATTTCTGTTTTAACGATAATTTTATGATGTATTTTGTACTTACCCTATGCTTCCAGCGCGTCGTTTTTGAATACCCTTTGTGGGATCAGCACCTAAAACAAGAAATGATAGATGCGTTTGATAAGTGACATGTTCTGGTAATGTTTGCACAAACAAAAGAATGCCAAGCATGCCACACTTCAACCCTATTCCAGTTTTAATTAAATTATGTAAATGCGGACCCAAATAAAACTAAAATAAACGCGAATGGGGTTGCAATGGCGAAATGAGAACGAATTACATTTACGTGATTGTCTTTTGTATGTTTGTAGATTTTGTTTACACTAGGCGAATTGCAGAATGCCCAACCGGCTTCTTATCGCGCGTCTTATCAGACTTCGTACAGCGCATTGAGACATCAAGTATCAACAAACCAACAAAAGTAAATCTTGTGAATGCTTTGATCTGCAGGAGTCTTGGCGTCTCCATGCCTTGACAATTATCGGTGATACGAAGATAACATGATTGCAACTAACCTGACAGCGGATGAGTTAACGCAGACATCTGTCCGCTGGCACCATGCAAAAGATACGCTTGCGGAGCCCTCCGCCGCCGGACACCGCGCACACACACACCGCTCGCTCGCCTGCACTCTGACGGGGCCTCGCCTCCATACGCCGCTGCACGGGGACGGCGGCGATCGCTGGTGGCACTTTGGGGCGGCCGTTTGTGTGTTTACAACCGACACAGAAGGACCGCCATACTAGTCACTAGAAAAATGTAACCGTGCTAGAGGTTGTGCGCGGGGCCGGGGTGGGGGATGGTTGCGGGTGCGACGGGGAGCGACGACGACCATCAACGACCATCTTTGCTCGCAGGCACAGCGTTGCCAAGTCAGCGCACGCGGCTTCGATCCGCCGCGCGCGGCAGGAGATGTTTCGCTAGGTGAAAATATTTGAATTTACTAATAGCACAACTTTTGTTTCAGGTTTTCCGTTAATTATCTCACCTCATCATTAACGAATTCATGAACTGCTTTCGTTTGTAAACTGGTTGCCTGCCGAAAATAAATAGAATATTAAAATGAAATCGAATTTGTTTTTCACCCGCATTCATCGTGTTTAATGTTAAGTAAAAGATCGAAATTTATTTAGCATCTTGTCTTTACTTAACTTACATAATTAATGCAATCATAGTACATAAGATGGATTATACCTACAGCCAGAAAAATATCACCACATATTTTAAACTACGCTTTGAGTCTCTAGAATTCGACTGCATCTATTTTATAGCAAGTTTTGCTCATTTGTGTCTTGCACACATCAACGTGCCACCATCTCTCTCTTAGCTACCACTAAAATAAATGTTCCGGGGTGTGAGAAATAGCGCGACACCGAGACCGCATTATATAAAACATTTGTTTTCACTAATCGCGCCTTCGGTCCGAAAACGAAACTCCACTCCGCATTTTGTATAAAAAACACCATAGTCGTTTGCAAGTATTAGTATTATTTTTTCCGTACTTCCTTTGTACATTTATTTAATCATTATGAGACATATATATTTTGTTTGTTTGTTTTTTATATATAAAGCATTCGCACAATTAATACAAAAGAAAACCACGTCGTCGTCGTCGTCGTGAGAACGCGAAACTCCGCCAACTAAAATAGCAAATGTTTATGGAAACCGAGTCGTCGAGGAGTTTGTGGTGGTCGCACTAACGAGAACGCAAAGAAACAACCGAATTGCGGGTAGAAACAGTAACCAGACATTGTACACAAGACTATTTTTTGTTTGTTTATAATTATGACGCTTCTGGTGAGAGTGAGTGAGTTGGTATCGCATGTCACATTTTGTAATTAACATGAATTCGTACTTCGCCCGCCCGGTATGATCCTGCGCTTCGCATTTAGCAGCAATTTAGTAAGTAACTAGATCCAGCAGTATTTCAGTCTTGTGGTTACGAGAGTTGGGAGGAACAACTTTCAGCATCGTCATCGTCATCATCATCGTCGCCAATTCGTCGTAAGTATTAAAATGTCTCCATGTTCTTCAGTTTTATTCCCTCGATTTATTAATGTTTATAGCAGTATAATAGTTTGCCTTTCGTCGAACTTGTGCGCCGACCAACCAAGTATGCGAATTGTAGTTCATATGTGATTATACCCCCTCGCTATCTTAAAATTTCATTAAATATGATACAACTCAGAGCGTCGAAAAACATTTTTATACATAGATATCTCGTCTCTAACTAATCATCACCATCCGCCACTTCATCATCGTATCGCCATTTTCGTATTTAATTTACAATTTGATAAATCGCCTAAAACACACACCGCCTCTCCTTCATCATACAAAACTATCAATATTTTTACGTGTGCAGCTTCAACTTACAGAGGGTATACAGCACATACTCAACCGAAACGTGTACTTCTTCACATAATCGTATATTGTGTGTGTTGTGTGTTTTTCTTTATCTGTTTTGTTATCTATATATTTATGTAATATATATAATTATCATATCCCAATGGCAGGTTGGCCACCACGCGACATCGGCCGCTCCCTCAGTCCGGTCAGGTCTAACCATCATCCACCGTCAAAAATAATAAAAAATAAAAATTATAATAAAAAATAAATACATAAGTAACATGGATGTTAAACATTTCCAAAAAAGACTTCCTTAATTTACAAAATGGTACATGGATTACATTTCGTGTATGCGTTGTTGTTGGGAGATACTTTCTGGGTGTTTGATGGTTGTTGCTAGTTTCGTTCGCGCGTCTCAAATTTCTTGCAAATCGTTCAATCACGTGTAGGCGTGTATGGTTGTATGATGCTTTATTAAAATAAAATGTGCGGACGCGTATATCATGTACCTCATGTTTGTTTCTTTGCTTAACTACTGTGCCGTCGCCGCCGGCCGGGAGGCGACGGCCCGAGATGCGCCACTAGTTTTTTTTTTTTGTAGTCCACGGTCCACGCTCCCCGCTCGCGCACTGTCCGTCGTGAAATTATGATAATAAAAGTCCGCAGTCACAGTCTATACAGGGAAGGTTCTGTACACGAGTCTCTTAATTTAGTTAGCTTAGGATCAATTATTCTGTACAGTATATCAATTTTCGTAACACCTACAAGGGAAAGATTAGCTATGGGATATTTTGTAGAGCACTTTAGAGAGTAGCAGAGCCACCTGCTGGTCGAGGATCTGGCTCATGACGAGCGCTAGCAGGCGCGACTCCTGCTGCACGAGTAGCGGCCGATTGTCGGCGTGCTCGGCGAGGAATACCAGCGTCGAAGCGGCGCGTCGCAGCATATCCAAGCTGGTGCCCATTGAGTCGGGGTTCTCGCGCAGCGCTGAGATGCCGTGCTGGTTGGCGACGCCGAGCGCACTCTGTTCGGCTTGTTCGATGAACGCCACCAACAGGGAGACGCACGGCTGCTGCATAGCGACGACGCGGGCCATACTGCTGTCGGCCGCTGCCAGGTAATGAAGCAGATTGATGGAGAACTCGCGCAGCACCTGATCCTCGGAGCGGCAAAGGTGCTTGGTGAGCACGGCGCATAACCGCTCGAGTCGTGAGAAGGGTGGTGTGGCGATCACTAAGTCAACGTTGCTGTTTGTCACGCAGAGTTTACACAGCGCCTCCAAAGCTAACCGCTGCGGCGAGAGTAGCGACGAAGGACCCACAGATGGGAAGGGGTCTTGACCCTGGGCTGAGGGACAAATCGCCCAATGTAGCAGACCATCAAGGAATGGCCGCGCTACCTCTTCAGGGTACAAGTCCAAATCAATCTGGCCGGCGATATTCGCCACGCACACGAGTACGTTTTCCCTTATCTGCAGCAAGAAGTCCCACCACCACTCGCTTTCACCCTGTAAGCTGCTGCACGAATCGGCAAAATCTGCGTCCTCCTGAAACGATAAAACTTAGCAACACCGAAAAAAACACAATAAGTCATATATTAGTACCTCTCTATCGTAATTTCTCGTTTTTTGTGCCCTAATTGGATGATCGTGGTGCAGCAACAAGAGTTTACCGACCATGCCTAAAAAGACGACGCTTTTGCTGAACTCCATCTCGTTGCCCGGCACAAAGGTGAGACTTCTGAGAATGTTCGAGATACAGACGCAGCGCTTAGCGATGCAGTCCTGGCTCTCGGTGAGCAGCGCCAGACTGGCGTCGTCGCGCGTATACGCTTCGTCCTCGTAGTCGGACATTCGACGACGTTTCAACTTGCCAGCGATATCGCGCACCTTAAATTTAGACAACGCGTCCTCTTTTACAGCGCTTTCCTCACCTTCACCGTTTACACTGCTGTTCATGTTCAGATCTACACTTGCCACCTTTGCGGCGTCATCATCGTTCGACTGCTCGTTGCAGTTCACCGTTTCACTGTCCTTTGCGTCAACCGGTGCCGCACCCACCTCCACTTTCGTCTTATTCTCGCCTTCCGTCGGCGGCGAATGTTTCTCCTCCTCTTTATCCGGCTTAACATCCGCATCGGCTTCCATTTCCTCGGGCGTGTCTTTCTTAATTCGAGATATCACATCACTTATTGTTTTTGTCCTACGTTTTTTGTCACACGGTTTATTAGTCGGAATCACTTCGGCCGGCGGCGATTTGCACTGTGCAGATTTGCTGACCACCGAGTCCACCGTCTGCGAGTGCAGGTCCAACGGCTCGTCCTTTATTTTCACCTCGCCAGCCTCACCCGGTTTCTGGTTGTCGATCGCCAGAGGATCAACTTCTTTGTTCGTTTGCTGGTTGGATTCGAGGATGCGATTAAACGGAATGCGCCCGAACTCCGCCTGGAAAGTCGGCAGAATGTGCTCGGCGGTTAGATACCAAGGATCCGTAGAGATTTCATCCAACAAATTTATACCCGCGACATCGCCCTTACAGTCCCACTTTCTGTGATGGTCCCAGATAAAGATTTCCTCGTCTTTCTCGACTATCTTTACCTGTAGGCCCTTGCGACTCGCCATTGTGTAGTTGTTCACCTTATGAAGGACAACTGTTCGCCTCGTGGTATCCAGCGGCGTTACTACCGCACCCAGATCAACTTCCTCGTCCTCCACCGCTTTGACCGCCGTTGTAGGGCAAGGTACGTCAAACATATCCGTTAGGGTTTTGCGGAAGTGTTCAAGCAGCAAGTCGAGAAGGCCAGGCCATTGTGTGAGGCCGAAATAACTGATCGCCGAATCATCGTACAACAATACCGTCAACACATCCAAGGCAAAGACGCTCTCGGCGAGCAGACCCGATCGTAAGCACATAATGATCCTCCAAGCGTCGCAGGGACCGACGTCCGCACGACATAACCGTTTACGCCGATACAGCACCGGCTGTGTAGCTTCCACGCTATCGGGCGGGAAGGTAATCTCCCTTTTGGGTACTTGCCCTTGCGGGTACGGTCCGGGAGTGGGTGATGGGCTAGGCATACCCTTGCCTCCTGAAGGTGGCATCATATTAAACGGTTTCCCTGGTCTTGGGCCCATCGGTGGTCGCAGAGGCGAACTTTGACCCACGCCAGGTGTTGGCATAGGTGACCATTGTTGAGGTCCCTGCGGTGGGGGTAAAATCGTTTGATTTGGAGTGTAGGGGTCCCACTGGTTCGGCGGGCGTATCGGACGCTGTCCTTGATTCCACGGCTGGCCGGGAGCTGGACCCGGACCACCTGGGCCTGTCGAGTTGGCAGGGTATGGTCCTCGGAATTGGTTGTTATTGGACCATCCACCTACGATACCGGCAGAAGAAAAAAACAAGTGTAAGTGATAAAATACACCGATGGTTGTTTTGCAAGAAGCTTAATACGTACCATATATCGGCGGTCTTTGAGGTGGACCATAAGGGCCCGGTGGAAAGCCACCTGGTGGCGGTTGATCCTTAGCGAAATCTGGATGTCGTCGAGGTGGCGGCATAGATTTGTTAGACGGTGGACCACCGGGATATGCGCCCGGACTAGACGTCGGTTGATCAGGACGATAGTAATCCTGTTGAGGTGGATAGGCGCCAGTAGCGGGCGGTTGCGGCGGTGGACCCGAAGGCGGAGGACCACCATGTGTTGCCGGCGGTTGATTTGGTCCACCAGTAAACGCAGGTCGCGGTGGATAGCCGCCAGATGTAGGCGCGGCATTCATGTTATAACGACTGTATGCATCAGGTGGGCCACCCTGAGGTGGTGCGCCCGGCTGACTGCTGTTGGGGCTAGCCGGTGGGGCATTGGAATCTGTAGAGTATGGAGGGTAGACGGGTCGCGTTTGCGGATAGTTCTGCCCACCCGGATACGGCGAATACTGATCTGGCGGTGCCCCCGGCCCACCCTGGCCAGGGCTAGGTGGCGGGTATTGGTTGTAACTGCCCGCCTGGCCAGGGTAATTCTGGCCGGGCGGCCGCGGCGGTGTGCCTGTCGGGAAGGGCGGGTGTGCACCGCCCGGGAAAGGACCTCCCCTCGGAGGCGGACTCGGTGAAACATCATCGAATGGATTCGAGACGCTCACATTGTCAGCGGCACCAGCAACCGGAGTAGGCCCCGATGGCGCAGCATTACCCAAATGATTAGAACCTGCAGAACCTCCATGTGGAGATGGAGCGTTGGCTTGTGATGACGGCCGTTGCTGAGGAGTATTGTATTCTGGATTACTACCGGGCGGATAACCATAGCTACCGTAACCGTCCATTGACGCACCGCCCGAGCCTTGAGCGGGAAAGCTGTCTTGCGAGTTGGACGAGCCAGGTGACGGCACAGAGGCCGCCTTGGCGCTCTTCTTCTTCGATGTGCTCTCTACCTGATTGATAATCGGTTGTGGGTCAATACCACCCCGATCAAACTGACATTCATAGGCGAGAAGATTTTTGGTGTAGTGTTTACGCAAAGTATAGGCGGCACTCGACGACGCACCAATACCCAACATACCAGCGATATCCTTCCACGTCTTGTTCTTTGTCACCTAGAAGCACGCAAGAAAACCCCAAACAGTGAGCTCACTCTTTCAAATGTCAAACTGTTTTATTTACCTCCATGAAACCACCGCGATCCTTCACAAACATGTACAGCCGGAAGAGATCGAGCGGGTTCTTCGAGATCGTCGGACACGTTGTGATCGGTGTGCGGCGCTCCTCCATAAAGGCGAGCAGCTTGTCTAGCCATCCTCGGCGATCCGGATTGTCGTCCATTTCATACAACTTGCCGAGACTATCCGTTTTCTGTAAAGCATTAGATGTTAGCTGGCTTGCCATTGAAAGCGACGACATGCAAGTGCACTTTAGAATTATTATAAGCGTAGTGAGCGCAATCCTAACATGCTAATACTACTCTGAAGGGCTTATTTTGAAACGTGAAAGTTTTAATGTTGATTAATTTTGAGTTATAGCCCATTTAGGATCGATACACATTTCCCAGCGTTAGTAAGTGGTAAGCGGTTAACATCAATAACAGTAATTTATTTATATAAACCTTTGAACGGTAGGTTTCCTGAGGTGGCTGATGAGTGTTAAATACCTGTAAATAACCATCGAATGGTTAGCAAACACACATTTATTTATAATGTAGCGCGAAGTGCTTTTGTTTGGCCGTGTTTTCGTTTGCGTGTTCGGTGTTCAAATTGATTGTTTCTGTTGGTGTTATGTTGATTTTCGAATCGTTCAGATTGTGTTCGAGCGGTAGAATGATACTTACTGGACTTGCAGGGGTGCGTGGCCAGCTGGGACTGCTGATCTCGTATTCTTCGTGCATCGAGTTCATGCTCGCGGCACCTGGAGAAGGCACGGTACTCTGAGGCGTCGTGGGATGGCTGTAGTGGCCCATGTCGTTCTTGCGGGACTTGGGCGTCGTGCACTGCGGATCCTCGCCGGACGCTGCACGAAACGAAGGGCCGTTAGTTGGCGATGCCGGCACAAAGGAATAGCTAGAATCATTACCCGCAGAAGCGTTGGAGAGGGTCGACTGCTGTGAACCCTCGTCAATCGGCGTGCCATCGGGACCAGTGGTGACGACGGATGTCACCGAACCACCGGCGGCTGAGGTCACATGTGTGCCCATACCACCACCGGCAGTCGTCGTGATGCCGTTGTCCATCATCTCGTGTGGCGGCGGGCCAGCGGAGAGCGGATGATGCGAGTTGGGCGTAGAGGCAGGCGGTGGCATCGGCCCACCGTCATGCGGATGGTTATTTTGTAAAAGCGGGCTGGTCGCCGGCGGCATGTTAGGCGGGCCCATACTGGGCGGCGGACCCATGCCGCTGAGGTGATGGCCGACCGGTGGTGGGCCCATGTGATAATTGGTCGGCGGGCTAGGGCTGGGCGGCATCGACGACGGCGGCGTGCCGCCGAAGCCCATCTTGTTGTGTAAATGCTGCTTGAGGTAGTGCGGCGGGCGCTGTGGGCCCGACGAGGGCGAGTTGGGCGCACCAGCAGGCGGCGGTGGTCCGCTGCCGCCCTTGCCCGGCGCGGCCAGATGATTGCCGGCACTCACCGGCGGCCCACCAGGCCATGGCTGCTGGTACGGCGGAAATTGCGGACTGTGATTGGGCACGCCGCGGTTCGGGAAGACCACCGGCTGCGGGGGCATACTATTGTTCGGCGGCGGCTGCGACGCCGGTGGGCCGTAGCCCTGGTTGGGGTAAACAGGCCGTGCCGCATATGCGGCAGGCGGGTACTGCGTATTCGGCTGGTAGATCGGCATTTGCTGCTGCCCAGACGACGGCTGCATGCCGGGGTGGCCCTTGTACGCGCCGTGCATATGTGGCGGTGGGTAACTGCCTTGAGTCGCCATCGGAGAATGGCTTATTCGTGTCGATCCACTACCATCTGATTGACCACTTGATGGACGCGGAGGCATCGGAATGTTTTGTTGTCCTGCAAATCGCCACACACAAATTATTCAATTATTAATGCTACACTTAAGCGCGCGTTAATAATTAAATAAAATACGATTTCGCCCCTCGCTGGTTTGTCGTCGTTAACAATCAAAATCGCCCCCATAAAAGACACGCTTCTAAAACGGGGCGCAGAGAAATAGAAATCGAATCGGCGCATAAAAATAAACGCTACGACTCGAAATAAAATGAAATAACAGCGCGAGCGGCTGCGAGAGGTGACAGTTGCAAGCGCGGCGTTCGATCGCGCGACGTGGCAGCGGGCGGCGGCAGCGTCGGCGGCACGACGCCGTTCCTCGTAGCCATAATATTTCCGTGCATTGTAGGCATCCGTGCCTTGCTGGCGATCGATATGCGATCCAGCCGCTCCTTGCCGGTTAATAAACCAAAAAGCGTTTGCAACAGAAGCAATTTCTGATCTTTTCCAATCGCGCGCTGCCAATAGTGCCATAATTCACGCACCGATTACAAACAGATACACAAAATAAAAACAACAAACAAAAAAAACTATGAATGGAGAGAATTTATCACCTCGAAAATAAAATAAAAAATGTGCGCACGTAAACCGCTCGTTTACTATCGAAACTTTTGCGCTCGTACAGCACGCAGGAAAGCCCGCGTGCATAAATTATATACCCGAAGTGTTACTTGCAGCAATGTAGAACAAAAACAAACAAATATAGAAACATTACATCGGCGCGCGTCAATGAAATGCAAGTGACAGTAAAATCCCACGTGCCGGCGGCGCCAAAGACGTACGACGTAGTATTATTTTATTATTTAATACGAGGACATAGCGGATGTAGGTTTGGGGAATAAATAGGGATCGGGGGCGGCTTAACGCGGCCACCGGCAGGCTGCTGCCAGGCAGACGGTAGACACTAAAACTGCACCGCCGACAGGATAAACGCCGGACTCGTGTCTTCGTTTTGGGTGGCTGGCAGCCAGCCGACACCACCACCGACACCACCCACAACCACATCAGCATCACAGGCGGCGCACATTGCCATCGTAAAACCGCGCACGGCTGTGTGGGTGAGTGGGTGGCTGGTTGGCGACGCGCGGGGGTGGCCCCGAGTTGTATTCTCACGCGGCGCGCCGGCATGGGTTAGGGTAAAATCCGGAATGTTCGTAGTAAAATGTAGGTCAATGTTGAGGAGAGAGACCCGCATTTTATCGAACACATCCGCGTCAATGGGAAGAGACGACACGTGGTTGCAGCTGAGGGAAATCATCAAATCCACGTGACACACGTGGCACGCAAATCAGCGCACACACGCACACACTCACCTACTGCTGGAGACATGGACCTGGAACCTGTCGAACCCGTAGGGGAGGGCGTCGGCCTCATCCCCTGCGAATTCGGCGTACCAGGAGCCGGTCCTCCCGAACTATCATTGCTGTTTCCACCGCTTAAGTCCTGCAATCAAAGCAAACACCAAAATTAATTCACAAACTCCCACTGCATGCCCATATTTATTTAAGTAGTTTTCATTCATGCAAGTGCTGTGTTATCGTCGGCTGTTTATTTTTTTATTCTCGGCGTTCAGCTGTAAATTTTCCATTGTTACATCATGCTGCGTTGCAGTTCATGAATTTACAACAACGACGCGCAGGATTCGAATGAAAGCTGACCGAATAAAAAAACAAACCGAATAAAAAGTCATCATCGGCTCAAAGTGACAAAGTGAATAAATAAAATCACATTTCGCAATTCCAGAGCGTGTATAAAACGGTAAACTTCCCGGTGTACCAAAAAGGAGCGATGTGTACACACAACATGCGTGTGGCGATGCAGCGAATGGATTGATGCAGACAAACAGGTTACCTATATTCAGAAATTTAAATGGCCATTACAAAGCCGACCTTAATGGGGACAAGGACGTTTGTGTGCGAGAGTTATCTTCGGCGGTAATGCGCAAAAACCAAAAACAAGTTAGAACTTTTCCTGAATGCAGGAATAAGAAATCACGTTCCAGCAATAAATTGAGCGCAGAGGCAGCACGAGGAGATAAAACTCGGAAACAATCCGTGGATTTCGAGTTAATGCCGCAACAATGGACCGTAAACGCACGCGATCTCTCGCAATACATTTGAATGTCTCCCGAGTCGTTATTACGACTTCCACACACATTTTACTTACTGAATGTAAACAAACAACGAACGCATCGCCATCAACACATATCACAATGAACTTGACATCCCACACTCGAGCAAAAAACTTATTTCTCGATCATCGAAATTTCTTGGCCAAGGCTGGCTGATGATGATACTGATATATTAAATATTATGTCACAATTCCGAAAATAACCGGGACCGCCGACCTTGAATTGCTGATATTTATCATTTTTAATTCATGCTTTTCGGATTCGTAGTAAATAATAAATGGAAAGTGCATGCATATTAATGGGCGTATTAAAATTTAAATTTAACGCGCGTAGCGAAAATTTACTATTTGTTTACACAAATATGTAAATCATCGAGCAATAAACGAATCAATCGCTTGTTGTTCCCTGGCTGCGTTGCCATATTTATTAGCGCTGAACTCTAGTGGAAACCCCCCTGGTGCCTAGCCGGCGAACAAACAATTTAATAAATGCACATGCCACATCTGCTGCGGTTTCGCGTCGGCTCTGGAGACGAGCTTAGTTCGCGGAGAGAACGACCACCACAAACACATACCGGTTGCCGGCGAGCAGTATCCAATCCTGAGCGCGCGCCAGCAGCGCACCGCGGCCAACAACAACGTCGACGTCGAAGCGGGCCGGTTTATTCCCGGCCAGGTAAGCCGCGAACCGGTGGAGGAAGTCGTGCGGCCACGGCTACGCCGTCGACGGGCAGGCACACAGCGTTGGCGGGATATTTCGAAGAGCCGCACGCAACGCACACATGCACACACATACACATGCGCCGCGCGTGATGCACACGCAAATCCTTGCCCCTGGTGGCGGCGTGTAATCAGTCAGTCAGTCACGAACGCACAAAACCACACACATGGCACATCGTGTCCCTCCTTGTTAAAGTTTATATTTTCGACAATTTTCGGTTGCACACTGAACTAATCAAACACGCGGGGGGCTGGCGCAAAGTAATCACACAACCGGCACATACGATACACAACCGCGACTTTTCCTTAGAGCGCCTTGTATTTGAAGTGATAACGCGAATGCTTTCGATAATTTTCCATGCTTTGCGGGCGCGCCGTGTGCGAAGAAACGCCGCCGCCGTAAGGCGAGCGGTAGGCTATGCGAGAGAAATAACAGGCGCACACACTGTGGAACTGTGGCGCGCAGCAGCGAGCGAGCGAGCGCACAACGCCGGTGGAAGACCGGAGCGAACCAAGCAGCGCGCACACAACGCGCAACGCTCGGCACGATGCGAGCGCGTATCGCCTCACGCGCACACAGTCAACAAGGATAGCGGACGCGTACGCTGTATGGCTGGCAAGCGCGCGCGGCAGCAAGGGACGAGACCGTGGGGTTCGGTTGGTGTTCGGTTCCTCCATTCGTTCGACCGCACCTAGCCGACCAGCGCCAGCATGCGCAGTTGCCAAGTCGCAGCCCGCGCACACAACTCTCCAAAAAACCGAACGCGCCAGGCTATTATGAAACGAAACGAGCGGACGCGCACCGCTGGAAAAAAACCTCCGACGAACGAACGGGCAGCAATCGAGTGCGCTGCTGCTGCTGCGACGAGCCGAGAACCAACAACCAGCGAGTCATGCATGCGGCATAGTATGGCATGCAGCAACAATAATATGCAGCGCAGCACGTAACGAGTACGCAACGAGCGTCGAGACTTGCAACGATGTGGTTTTTGGTTTTCCTTCGCCGCAGCGAGCGACCAGCGCGAGCTCTTTTCGAAACGTTTACGATTATTATTATTTCTTCGGATGGACTTCACGGACGCTGCGCGGGATAATAAAAATAAATAAAAAATATATAATCCGAACGCGTTGTCAAAGGACGAGTCATTTGTCAAGCGGAGCGGATAGGACAAATTGCACTTGTTAAAATAAATCAAACGCGTGAAATTCAATTCGAAAAAAGCCCTATATCGCACAAAACTATTCCGAGGATAAACTCTAGTTGACTTTTATACGAAATGCAAAATATAAATTCATTCATAAAACCCAGCAGGTGGTCGATGGCACTTGCCTTCCCGACATACCGCACACAACCACCGCGCATTTTCTCCCCTTTCGCTACAATCATCATACATGGTATGCAAAACACCAACTTTTTTATGTAGGTCTTCGGTGGATGACTCCAAACAGCTGTGCGCAACAACATTAAATACCAAAGTTGTTGGTGAAAACGCTTACTAGTGCGCCCAAACACATCTCTCTAAGCAAATTCCCGCGACTGTAAAGCACGTGCGTACTACTACGTTAAAAGATTGACCCAGATTAGAACTGAACATTAGGGTAGGTCCGAGAGACGCCAATTTATTTTCAACCCAAGCCGTCATCTGGCCCCGCCAGCCAGTTCAATAGCACCCGATCTTAATGTAAACCAGCGTCGAAGCGCGCGCGGGATGCCTAAACACACAGGGAAGAAGAAGTGTTGGTGGTGGTGTTGGTCGGGTATATGTAACAGAAGCAGCAATGCTTGAATGTCGGCGGCGCGGGCGCGAGCCATTCAATGACGACGATTTACGACTGTTGCTACTCCTCTCCTCTCCACATAGAGTGCACCTTCCGCATTGCGAGCTTATATAAACTCTCTCGTGAACGCATAAATACGGCACCATCGCGTGCGTTTTGTTCCAGTTGATCACGGTGTGTGAGCCGCGAGTGTGGGTGCGAATATCGGAATCGTGCCGGCGCTCGCCCGGCGTCATTCATCATTCATCGTGGATCGACGATTTTACATTGTGTACGAAGCGTTTGAATATTGCATGCGGAGCTTTGAAGTTATTGCGACGCAATCGATGTCGATATAGAGTATACCTGGCGTTATCCCGAATGATAGATCGCTACAATGAGCACACGACGAAACAATGCTCAACAAATTACTCGATAAGCAAAAGTTCCGAGCGCGGCATAAATTGTTTAAGCGCGTTACAAACTTGCACCGCGCGAGTAAATTAACGACGAGTTTATGACTGGAGAGGTAACATACCAAAGTGTAGTGCGCCAGTGCGCGCACATCGCACATGAAAGGGAAATGATTTTACAGTTAACCCGGGAAACGTGAGTTTGCAGAGAGCTTGGCGCGCGCACCTCACGTCGCATGCGGCGGATTGGTGGTTTCCTGCATCTTCTCGCATCGTCCGTGCAGAAATGCAATGTACACACAAAAGCGCACATATACACAGCGTACACTACCAACTGGAGCGTCGCGTCGCCGGCGCCATCAGCTGATACACCCGTCCGTATAAAGTGTATAAACAAACAAATTACTACTACAGCGTGTGCGCGCGCCAAGCCAGACGAATGCATTATTCATAGCCGCAGCGTAAGCAGACGCGAGAGAGTGTGTGGATCCCTTTGAAGATGTATTGATCAGCTGATCAGCCGATTTCTGATACTCTTTTGCTTCGGAATGCGAATGAGCGCAACACGCGCGCGTCTCTCCTCGCATGTGTGGTTGTAGCGGCGTATGCGATACGCTATAAATAACGCCCGTCGTCGTCGTCACCGCCGCCGCCGCCGTCTCAAATTCGCCTGCAACTACATTCAAATATCCTTGAACTTGAAAGTGGATGTGTTCAAGAACTTGCGCACACAGAATTAAGTGCTACCGCCGGCATTGAAATACCAAAAAAAAAAAACTGTACTTGATTTCGTGCAATGAAATTTTGAGAATAATCCGTTGTAAAAGAGCTTTAAAGCTCTCATTATGTTGCCGCATTAGAACTCCTGGCTGACAGTAATTCCACATTGAGTAATTTTCTATTCAATCACACAGGCCATCGTACGCTCGTTAATTGCATAATTTAAACGGACGCTCAATTAAATTCAATCCACTCGTACTCGTACGAGTCCATACGTAATTACTTTGTAGCGCTGAAATTACAGCGCGCCTGCAATCGAACAGTTTGGCCTATTCAGAAAAACGTGCGCAATCTCCCATCGGGACGTATCAATGCACGCGTACAGCGCAAAAAAGCGTAAAAAACGACCTCAATTGTGTCACCGAACCGTCGCTTGTCGCCGAAATAGGGCCATACACATCATTCGAAGCGAGAGGGCAGGAAAAAAAAGAAGGCAAACGCTACCCTCTCGCACAACCCTACCGAGTTCTCCTCTCCACGGCGTGCACATGATGTGCGATCGGAACAGCCGCGTGCACAAAAGCACCCGAGTGGTGCTATGTGTGTACGGGTAGCCCTCGGCCCTTCCCGTGTCCCAAGCAGTATCCAAGCATCCCCCGACCGGCGGCTCACAGTGCCATTTTCTCCTTCCTCCGCCTGCCTGCCTGCCTTCTTCTTCGGCTTCGGGTTGTTTCATTGATGGCCTCGCGTTTGCATTCGCCTGCATGGCTAACCCTGACCTTAAAACCCCCGGCGTGGAGGAGGGTGGTATGCCGTGGCTGGCGCGTGGGGTGGGTTGCCGTTTGCCCGCTTTACAAATCGCAAATGTAAATTCAAGTTCACAAACATTGCGAGAACCACTCTCCCAGCAACAGGATCTTCTCTATGCAATGTGCAGCTAGTAGTATTACTAGTTTCGCCACTCGTCAGCGCACAATCTCCTCTCTTTATGTGTGTGCATGCGTTGCATTTGATATCATTCATCCGCGCCCGCTCGCCCTATTTACGAGCGCGCGCGGCGGCAATCATGTTGTTATTGATGGATTTCGTGCCGGATAAAACGTAAAATATTAATCCGCATAAAAAACAATGTTCGCATTGCGCTGCGCGATGGTTTGAAAGGAAGATTCATCATTCTGCGCGCGCGGCGAACAAAAAGCAGAGATAATTTTTCGATAACAGCGGCGAAGTAGTAAAAGCGGCCCGTCGATATCGTGGCAATCTGCGTGCACGGGCCGAAAGGAAGAGACCACCTGCTAAGCGACTGAGCGAGTAGGAGACTTTAAGACATCCGGCAAAGTTAATTAATTAACAATGCAACGACGACCAGCCGAGTGACGTTCCCATTGTCAGACGGAAGCCCCGAACGGCCCCCCTAGTCAAAACACAACTCTGGGATTTTTATGGAAATTTGATCAATAATAGGCAAACGATTTTCGGTATGAAGAAATGCATTTTAAAATGAATTTATCATTGAAGCGGCGATGGCATGAGCGAAGTCGAAGCCACGGCAGCGAGAGGCCGGGCAGAGGCAGCAGCAGCAGCATAGCAGACAAAGGTTCCGAGAATGATAAATGGAGGGGCATTGGAGGAATATAGTCGAGTGGAGAATGTCCACGTCCTGGCTGACTGGCTCGGCAAACAAAGCGCGAGCCTGTACGCCAGAGCGAAAACGCAACCAACGGCGGGCAAACCACTCACGGCGCGCTCGCAAGCAGGCGATGAGCGAGCGAGTGGGACGGATGGCGCGCCGCTAATGCAACACGACGTACAGGCGGCGTACAGCCAGCCACGTACACGTACAGCCCGGCTCTAAATGCAGTGCAGTGTACTGTAGCATGCCACGTTGCCGCGCCAGCGTCGAGTTCAATCAATACCGCGTGCGCCGCTGCCGGCAAAGCCCAAGCCGGCGACGAGCTGGCAACCGAGGGGAGAACGCCATAGCCTGCCGCACGTAGCGAGGACGACCGCGCGCGCGGCCGGAATGTGGAAGCGAGCGAGCGCGCACCAAACGAGTAGGCTATCGAACGACCGCGTCGACGAGGCAGGCAGGCAGGCACAGGCACATTGCGTGCGCCGTGCGGAATTGCCAGCGACGGCGACTGGCGTGCCGGGGAATGGAACAGCATGAAGCTGCATTTATATCGCGCAAACATAATACATGCCAGGCGCGCCGAATGCAAACTGCCAGCGCGCTGCTAGCAGGGCAGCCCGTTTGCCGTAATATATTGTTTTAGCGCTACACTGTAAACGTGTAAACTCAAACTCGAGCTACATCTCTATAAAGAACACACTTTACCTATCCGCTTCTCCATTATACCATCATTCCTCTATTCTTTTTTAAATTTTATTAAATCCCCTACTACTACTACTGCTGCTTATCATAATCATAACAATCGATCGCGAAATCACAAATGCCGATGCACAGCGTAGATAATTAATTAAACAATCAATCAATCAGTCAATGGAGCGAAAATCGCGCGCGCGCACACACAAAACAGCCTGGAAGCGCTAATTGTGAATTCATTGCCGGCTATTGTGCCGCCGTCAGATAATAAAGCCGAGGGAATTGCGCTCGCCAGATGGGTCAGCGCAGATTAGAAGCACGTGCAATTAAATCTTGATCGGCTACAATGACCGGTACCGGCGGCCGCCACCGCCGTCGCTCAGTCATCGTTTGCTGTGCGACGACTGCTTTACTAAATTATTTCTCTGGAGTAGGCTATCCGCTGCAAAAACAGAGCGCACGCCGTAAAAGTCGAGCGGAATAGCGCCTTTATTGCGGCGTCTGCCGCGGAAAGCGCCATAAAAGCAGCTCGAAACGAGCGCCGGCTCGAATAAAATATAACGCCGCCTCCGATATCGCCGCTTGCAGCACCGTGGAAATATGCGCAATTGCAATTCGTAACCGTTATACACTTTACATTTCGAGACGCAGACAACAAAGTGTCATTGCAGGCCGATATCGCGCGAAATCCAATATCGGAGACGTACATAATAATATGAATCGATAATTGCTATATTTAGACGGCGCATGAATCATTGATGACATACTTGAATGGTTTGCGAGCCTGCACGTCGTCCAACACACACACACACGCACACATCCTCAACAGGTAAAACGCGCGCAAATGTACTTGCAATTAGTGCACGCTTATTAAATCATAAACAATTCCCGCGTGTTTTGTGTTTAATCGAATGATAATCGTAACAATGTTGACGCGGGCGCCGACTCTCGCAGACAGAGTGATTAAATCACTCGAACTTATTCATGATTAATCACACAGTCAACATGCGAGGCGCGTGGAGAGCGAAACGCGCGGTGGTAACTTTACTCAATAATGCAATGTGTGCAATATGCATTGTATTGTGTAATGCGTGTGTTTGTGTGTGAGTGTGCCCGCGCGCTGCACGACATTTACCGCAGGTCAAGAGCGGTCTAATTATTCACGATTATGCAATTTCTCCACGAGCTGCACCAACACCACAGTCTTGAATCGAGAGCCAATACTCATTGATCTTGACGCTTGACTTTTACTTGTTTGTTTGCAAGTATAACAAGTCTTACTAGATTACCGAGCGCGCGAACCAAGTAAATACCAAGTTGTGATGTTATTAAGTGTGCGCGTCGATCGATTTGAATCTATAATTCAAATTAAATGAGGCAGAGCGTGGCGTAGGAGCTGATTGAAAGCGAAAGTTGGATTGTTTCGGCGCGGTGCTACAATTTAAACTCGCAAGCGTCGCCGCGCAGGAAACACGCGTAATACGAAATCGATTGATGAGCGAACTGTGCGCGGGCGGCGTCGGGGCCTAGCAAATTGAGATGGATGAGCGACGCGTGCTCACGAAACTCTCTCGCAGAGGAGCATCGTGTACACGTGTAAAACGCTGACGCGGCGATGATTACGAATTTTGCATGCGATGCGAGGCGAACAAAGGCGGCGGCGGATGAACACCGCACGCCGGCTCGATTCAATCGCATCGATTTGTTTATTTACATTTAACGCCTCGAGCAACGACTCTGCAAAACGTTGCCGGTTGTCGTCATTGTCGTAGCTCAAAACGTGCGATCGAACACGATGATTAAACATGAATTTCCCATTGTGTACCCGGTTTTTTTCCTTCCCTCGATTGGATAGAGTAGAGAAAAAGTTACAACTTACCGCTTGATCGGGCCCATGGGCATTAGGAGTTGTTGGCTGTGATGGCCGATTTGGAAAACCCTACACAGACAAAAAAAAAGGACACGAACAAAAATTGTTTTTCTGCTGCCAGAAATAAGATATTACCTGATGTTGATTCGTAGGAGGTTGATGCGAAGGACTCGGCGGTAATCCAGGCCCAGGCGAATGACTGGGCTGTGAGGGTTGCGGCGAGGGTTGACTTACCGGCACCGAGGAAGGCGGTGGGCCAGGACTCCCAGGCCCATGTTGCCCAGGCGGGCCCGGCCACCCGCCTCTACCTTCACCGTAGCCAGGACTCGGAGCTGGTCCTCCACTGTATCCACCACCGGGCATCTGCAACAATCAAAACAACACAAGTAAATAACTGATTCCTAAAGTAGGCCATGAAGAGCGCAATTAAAACAAAAGGCGCAGATAAGCATCAGGTAGTCAATAAATTAGTATTTATGAGGTCGGGCGCGAGAGAGGAGACTCGTCGGCGCACAAGGACCCCGGAGGGGTCACACGCGGAATGACAATGGGTGTCTCTCACTCTCACTGACCTGCCCCACATCGCACACACACACACACACCAACACCCGGATGCATTTGCTTTTGCTCAAATAATCATCGGAGTCGACCGGCTGTGCCAGCACCACGTGTGTGTGTGTGTAAGTGTGGTAAGTAAATGGCTCATCGGATACGCGACCCAAAGCGGGCTGCTCTGTTCGTATGCGTTCCAATGTTCCAAAGTGTTTCGCCGTCTTCCACGTGCTTCGCTTTTGTAGTAGCAGCAGCAGCAGTGGCACGAGCACGACCGATATTATAAATCAAGTAAATACTCATTCAAGAGTAAATCCAACTTCCGTACCAACTACACCTGTAGTTCACACGCTACACGCTCCAGCAGCAGTGATATGTACTCGTATTAAACGTAAACTATTCACATGACGACAAGTTGGCGTTTATGAAGTATCAAAGTGTGAGATGAAAATGATGATGTGTTTAGCATTTTCAGGTGTTTCGCACACATCTCACGTGCGGCTTCTGCGTAAAATCCTCGTACGAGCATCAAAACGAAAGTGAATTGTGTGTGCTATGCATCGTAGTATACATAGTAAAATCGATAAAGAAATGTGTGAGAGTGGCGGGTGGTGGGCGCCCCTAGCTGCCTAGATAGATCTGATATTGAAATGGAGGCTCGTCCGCGTATGACAGCTCGTGATATGTTCGTGACGCGGGCACTGGTGGGAATCTCCCGAGTGCAACTTTACGACAATATTTACATGTGGAGCACATGCAAATGCGAAAACTTCCATTCCCCGCTATCGTTAAAATAACGCCGAGTTGCATGTACGCGAAATGCTCCTCACCCGCAGCCGAAAGGAAGCCACTTATCACTGCGATGTCTATCGCGCGTGCAACTCCACCAAAGTTCCGTCGTTCAGTGTTCTTCGGCGAAAACATTTCAAGTCGCCCGTTTGTTGCGTGTCTGCTTGTACTTGCCAGCAGCCAACTTTGTCACAATGTGTGCCTTTTCACAAACAGAGAATCGCAGTGCGCGCGTGGAACTTGGTAACTGATGCAAAAACTTTCGTCTTCGCCCACGTCAAGTTCAACCCGGGGCTGAAATCGAAGGCACATGCATCACCCAAGCGACGGCGGCGGCGGCGGCAGTGGCAACGGCTGTGGCGGGATTGTAAAGGTATCTCGTAAATGCGCCGCCACCCGCACCACCAAACCTATCCAACCCGCGCCGCTGCCGGCGTTTACGACAACATTCGCACCCACACAACCACCACACATCCAGCAGCAGCCACCCCCCAAACTCTTTACACGTGCTGCTGGCGGGCGGGCATCGCACAGTTGTACACTTATACGCGCGTGCACTTGTATGTCCTGCCGGTTGGCTCTCGCATGCACGACGTAAACCCGGCGAATGTTTGACGTCACGGCCCGTCAGCTGATTGCATAATAACAAAGTAAAGTGGGCGGGCGGCAGCAGTACTCCGTTTTGTTTGTGTGTGAGCAAACGCGGTTCAAGTTCAAGGACGGTCCTTGCATGTTTAACTACGCTTTTTATGCAATTAAAAATATATAGGAATGCGTGCGTCCGCACTGTATTCCTGCATGTGTGTGTGTGTGTGAGACACTTTCCGTCTGGGTTGTAAATAAATGACCGCGATGCATCGCAGCATTGGTCATATGCCAAGTGGGCGCCGCACGGAAGCGGAAGCACAGGCCGTCATTAGCATATCGACGTCGCGATCTCTGTGCACACACGTCGATTAGAGACGACGCGCGCGCGGGGCGAACACAAAGCACTAATCAATCGAAAACCTGCTGCGGCATGCCTCTGCAGTAGTAATTAAATCGGTTTGCGATTGTGTAAACTAGTCTAATCCATCAGCCTCAATCAATTATTCGCCGATTGCGAAAACACGAATTACACATATCCGCGTCTGATATTCATCATATCGATTACCCTGCGGGCCCTGGAAGGCAACCCTCAACCTTATAATTATTTCTACTATATCGGTCAAACGGAATGGCTTGAATGAACCGCACACCACAAGCCATCCCGTTTAATCCTATCGTGCCATAGTAGTGCACTGAAAGAACGAAGGAAAAAAAAAGCACGCTGTGTGTGTGTGTGTGTGTGTGTGTTGAATGGATGACCTGCTCATCAATAAACACGCGCGCATTTTTTTTCCGCTCCGGCCCACTGTTTTTGACCGCGTGTGAGTAAAATTTCGGACCGCGTATAGAGAGAGAAATGCCCCGGGCGTCACACTCGACCTGATTTTTTAATCGGCGGCGTTGGTGGTGGCTGCTGCACAGCAAAACGCATTTTTGGCCATCGATTTGCGTGCGCCACAACCCAATTTCGATTCATTTGCGTACAATTTCAACAAAATGAAACTAACACAATTACTTTCGAATTAAAACTGCATTGTGTGATGGCTCGCATAAATAAACAAAGTGGAAATAATTTTTTATTTTCAAACAAGAACCACTTAGCAGGCTTTGCAGACCGTCCGACAACACACATCAACGCTGACAGGAGAAAGCCGACGATTTATTTATGCGTGCAATAACTCGAATATTACACTTTTTCCACACTCACTCCAAACTCAATTAAACAAAACAAAAGAGCTGATTTTCGGCCAGCGCATTGCGAAACATAAAAAGCGTGCGTAATTATCGCGCGTAAATTATGTGTACACGTGAGATACCGAGCATTCGCACATGGGTACGCACACACACACACATACACCAATACGAGAGCATGACGCATAAATAAAACGAAAGTAATTGCAATATAAAATCGGCAAGAAAAACGAAAACAAAAAAGCGCACGCCGCGCCAGCGTCCTTGACCCTGTGTGTGTGTCTACTATTATTGCGGAGACCGTAAATAAGCGAATTGCGTTCGTTAATTATCCAACGAGTACATTTGTTGCCGTCGATACGTCTATTGTTTCGCCTGCTGCATTAAATATACCGGCTACAGATGTTCGGATTCTCGTCGTCGTTTATTCACAAGTGTTGTGCGCCGTTACAGAAAATCCGGAATTAGTGTTACATGAATTTTTGATTTCGTAAGTACATTTATGATTTTTTTCATTTGATTATTTAAAAAAAAATTGGGATGAAAAAAGGGGCAGTGCGGTCGACTTACAGCTTGATTCCGATATGAGGGCCCTCCAGGCGGGCCCGTAGCACCGTACGGTTTCTGCGACAGCCATCCCTGGTTGTACGGCGGCTCGTAGTACCGCATCGGCGGGTTGGAGCTCTGAAGCAACTGATTGAGCGTCGGCGTGGGGCCGGTGGCCTGCGAAATAGTCTGTCCCGATACCACGCGCGGCGGTTGCGGCTGCTGCGGCGGGAACGGCATCTTCGGCGGGCCGTAGCCGCCCTGGCGGTGCGCGAACGCGTGCATGCCGCCGTCGGCAGGGTTGAAACCGTACGCGTAATGCTGGCCGTCGGTGGGCGGCGGGCCCTCGGGGTGCGCGCCCGGATAACCGCCCGGCTCCCCACCGATCGGCCCCATCTCGGGCTCGCCGTGCGGCGGCGGCTGTTCGCCGGGCACGCCGACGGCGCCGCCACCGCCGGTGCCCCCGTCCTGGTGCCGATACTGACTCATCTCGACGGCGGCGTGAGCCTTCGCGCCGCCGGTGCTTTTGCTTTTCGCGAGCGCTACACTACTACCACTGCTGCGTACGCCACTCTTATCAGTCCCATTTTGCAACAGCGAGTTCCGCACGTTCAGATGCTGCTCCGGCTGCGGCTTGTCACTATTCACGTCATTTTGTTGCTTTTCGGCCTGCGTCGCAGCCATGTTAAGAAAAACGGCTGCGATCTAGCACGGGCAATCGTTGCCAACACCCCGCCGTTACACGAAGCAGCCGACGCTTTCCGTCATTTTTCACGCTAGACACGCACGCACAGCGAAGCAAACACATAATAGAGTAGTCACTATGCCGCTAACGCGATTCCGTAATGGTAGAAAGCCACCAAACTTTTTGAATAATCCGAAATGATGGACACATCTGACACACAACTTTAGTCCGTATCTACTCCAATAACACGAAAGGAGGTTATGGGTGACGGTACGGGATTCCTACGCGCGTCCGAAACGCACCGGGGCGCCGGGAATTTCCAAAAATTTCTGCGCTCGCGATATCCCGGAGCTGCGAGTACACCGATTTTCGAACAATTAGCACAACACTCGCGGGAAGTCAGACTCCCAGCGTGCAAAAGGTAGCAACGAGGTGGTACTACTTTTCGATATGGCTACGCCGCCACCATGTTGGCGCTAGCATTCGTAAACGCGGTTAGATTTTTCTGTCGAAAACAAGTGGCGCCAGATTCAAACTGGCACAAAGACGCAACGAACCATCTGAAGAAATTCACAAACAAAACTTCAAAACGATAATAATCCAAACATAAATATAAACCAACTTTCAAATTAAATAAATTAAACCTATCAGTTTTATATACATGCTTTCTTCTAATTAGATTCGCATACAATCGTTAAAACGTTTTAAAAGCAGATAACCTCATAATAAAAGTTTATTACTGTTTAAATAATTATCTCTGGACATGTGCGCATGTTACTATCAATATTTCCGATTTTGTTTAATTTGCGCAAAACGTAACATACAGCGCCACCGGTCGGCGAACACAGTAACTATAAAAGTCTGTCAAAAACAAGACGCGCGAAACGCAAACATTTTCAAATATCTGCGAGGAAAATCGATAACATTTTAAATTATGGATATATTCGACTCATTGCACATTGTATTGATTCGACTACAATCGTTTACAGCATTGATATTAGATTAATTATGGCATAATTATGCGCAATTTTAGATCTTCTATAAAAATATTGAAAAAAAAAACTAAAACAAATAATAAATAAATGCGTTAGAAGGTTAAACTTATTAATCAGGAATAACTCTATGAAAGGCACCGCTTCCTCCCCATCATGACGATCCAAACTCATTCATCCACTTCTCATACTTGTCTAAATCATCCTGTGACACACTTTTGTTGTTCTTATCAATGGCCTCCTCAAAATCCCTCTCAGTTACGGGCAGGTCCAGCTCCTCTTTGGGCAACTGTTTGATCTGATCCGGTTTCAACCCAAAGATCTTCCTACGCATGGACATCATCGACGCATCTCGGCAGACATTCGTAATATCCGCACCGGAATACCCTCGCATTTTCTTAGCAATTGCCGGTAGATTAACATCCGGATCAAGCTTCACCTCTCTGAGATTTATCTGCAATAGAGCTTCTCTACCTTCCTGAGTGGGCAGAGGAATATAAATGCGTTTTTCAAGACGTCTACGTAGGGCCTCATCGATGTCCCAGGGAAAGTTGGTGGCTGCCAGCACCATCACAACCTTACCAGCATCTTCAACATTAGCGGTGATTCCGTCCATTTGAACCAATAGTTCTGATTTAACCCGCCGGGATGCTTCATGTTCTGATTCTGAACCACGACGTGAGCAAAGCGAGTCTATTTCATCAATGAAAATAGTACTAGGCGCGTAAAACCTTGCCATTTCGAATAGCAGACGTACCATCTTCTCAGACTCACCACGATATTTCGAGGTAAGCGTCGAAGATGACACATTGAAGAATGTGGTCTCACATTCGGTGGCCACGGCTTTCGCCAGCATTGTTTTACCGGTTCCGGGTGGTCCTACCATGAGGACACCCTTCCATGGTCGACGGATACCAGTGAAGAACTTTGGCATCCACATTGGAAGGACCACTGCTTCCTCAAGCAAACGTTTTGCCTCCTTGAGGTCAGCAATATCTTCCCATCTGATATTAGGGTTCTTCTGAACAATATCTCTTTCAAGTGTATCTACTAAATCACGGTCCATACCATGACATTCAAACTTCTTCTCTTCTTCCGGTTCAGATTTTTCCGCTTTCTCGTTATCTACGTCTTTGATGTCCTTATCTATGGCGACTTTATTCGAGTCTGGATTACGCGCTGATTTTGAAGATGATGGTCTTTCAACCTTACCACCTTTTGTGGGTCGTACCGATGACGTGCGTGATGTTGACGAACTTGTGCGGGCGCTGGGTGCGTTTGATCTTCGTGGCGGCTCTGGTTTTTTCTTTGTTTTTGGTTTCGGCCCATTTTGAACTCTAAAATGTTCACCCACACCCGGTCATCTTTTATGTTTTTACTTATACCTAGTATATCAACAAACCTATTAACAGTATATCCTCCATCTCCTGGAGGTGGTGGTGGCCATACATCTGGATCATAAGTGTCACCAAAATTGAAATCACTATCCTTCACAGGCTCATCTGGTATCGGTAATCTCCTAGCACCCGAAGGTGCGTTAGTACCCACATTTAGCCTTAGAGAGTGCAAAGTGGCTGTGATACTCTTCACCCGGTCATATTCCAATGCAATTCTTTGCTTGGCCTGCAGCCATTTGTTCTTTCTCAAGGGATCTGTGATGTTGATGATCAGCTGTGTGACCAACTGCATGGTCCCAGCATAGTACACCTCAGCACTCTCATAGTTCCCTATCATGGAGGACTCTCTGGCTAGTGTTAAATTATCACAGATTTCCTTTGGAGTTTCTGCCATAATGACCATCCCAAAATCCGTTCTGGAATTACACTCTTCATCAGCCTCTGCCACTATATACTAGTACACTATGCACACCCATTCCAAAACCAAACACTGAGCATGCAAAAGGTAAGTGACACAATACACCAGTAAACCAATACTTGTTAAACAAACAAATGATTAGTTATTTAAACAAGTGCCAATGGCATGCAAATAAACTAAACTGTTTATACTTGATTGTGAAAATGACTAATCTAGGTCTAACACCTATATTCTCACGCTTGAACTAAATAGGAGTTACGAATGTCTTAAGAAGTTATAAATACTAAATTAGTGGATAAAAATGCAGGCCACCCATGGGTGAAAGCAAATAGTGTTGGAATTAGACTCACCAACGTGAAGACGGCGTACAGGAATAAAATTTTACCACGTGGTAAATGCGAGGTTTAATTAAGATTGAAGAAGTCGTGTGTGGGGCGGCTAAAATCGCGACTTGAAACGACATTTGCGTTTGCACACTCATGCTCCCATACACCACTATGACTACATCCCACTGTTTTCAGCTGTTTAAGTACAAACTCGCCTTTCTAGTCATTTTAAAGATTCTAAAGCTTGACTCACACGATAATCCACAGAAAAAATAAAACCGTGTGAATGTAGAGTCACATATCGATCAAAACAAGTGAATTATTTTCATCTTAGGTAAATAAATACCTCAGATAACGATTAAATTACACGTGTTTTTATTAAATGCAGATAAATACCGATAACGTCCACGTGCGCCATCTGACCGCAAGCGGGTGCAATCACGTCGTCCACGTTTAGACAACTCACGCAGCTCGTAACTCTCTCCGCAGGAATATTTTCCTGGTGCGGCGTTCGTTCTAAAAATTGGCTCAACCAGCTGGCGGCCGCGCGTGGGGTCTTACGAGGTTATTTCTGGTCCTCGAATGCAGTGAATCGTCGGGGGTGGCTGCGAGATGGCCAGCAAGGGATTGCACTACACCCCGTTGGGGACGGATGGCACTGACCACGCGTACAGGCAGCGGGTCGCCTCCCAATATCCGATCAGGTAAATCAAAATAAATATAAATATAACCTCCAAAACGCGCAGGATTTTCCTGCGAGCTCACGCGAAATTCCACGCACACGCACGCACCGCAGACAGGACGCGAGATGACGAATTTATATTTAATTTCGTGCTGCCACGTCGCGATTCATTCACATCTTAATCTTAATGAAAACAGCGTTGATTTGGCAATAATTCGATTGTTATGTAATGTTTTTCAAACCTTTTGATTCAGTCTTTCCGTTTTCTACATCAAAGTCTGTTGTTATTATTAGAATAAACAAAAATGTTTTGTTTGGCATCACCATCTACCGCAAATTGAAGTTTTGAAATCATTATTAACTCACATACACACACACATGATATGATTTTGTACTTTGAATGATAACTCACCAATGTGTTCTTTTTGTTTTTAGTGCTTTAAATAAATCAAGGCTAAAGCATTGCATATTTTTCCATTATTTACTGTTCTTTGTTATGTTAGCCAAGTTATCAGCTGATATATTAGACAAATTAGATATATTTATCTTAGAAATTGAAGAGCTTAGAATTCCACAGGTGAGTTGAGTAAACTTTTATGTTTTTTGTGCGTATTTTAAGCAAATTTTGAATTTTTTTGCATTTTTATTGTAGCCACTTTGGTGGGAATACATTTGGTGCATCAGCCTGTTATTCTCGTTCTTGGGACTGGCCGCAATCCGAAAAAATCGCGTCAAACCGATGCAGCACTATCTCATCGGTTTGCTCGCTTTTGGTTACCTGCCTTGCCTGTATGGCTTTGCGTTTTACTTTGGCGACGTCTGGACGTATTTGACGTGCGATCCAGAACTTGAAGATGATATGCGTGATTTGGACAATGTTCACATGTGGCAAGTAAGTTAAAATCACTTTTCTCTTGCTTAAAACAATTAAATTACCTTGAAATTATTTTATTTATTTGCAGGGAATGCCATATGGTCTTCTATGGTACGGTTTCATAATCGTCGCGATACAAATCCACGCATTCTCAACGTACTTTGCGTACAATTTGCTCAAGGCGTGGAAATCGCGAGGTGGCCGCAAAATGGAATGATGGAGAAGATGCATTTTGTAACTTCACTACCAAAAACCCGACAATGTTTTCAAAACTTCAAATGAGCAATACATGCATAGTTATAAACGAAACTTTTCTATTATTTCATTGTCTGTCATTGTGTTCATTAATTAAATTATAAATTCATCAAAATCTGTCGATTTTTTTGATAATGTTATGTTTGAAAGACAAAATCTATGTAATAAATTATTGCTGTCTAATAAAATTTATAAATTTATGCTTCCTGCCTTACTAATAAAATTTATTTTCTTGTTCATTAAGTTGCCTATGTTTAACTTGGTCTTTAGACATAAAAATATCGTAAGAGTCTAAATTTATAATTAATCTCTTCGTAATTTCTCGTTTTACGTTAATACTTGTTGACTTTTTGACATCATGTCATAATTGTATCAAATTTACAAAGAAAACTTATAAATCAAGGCAACGGCGTCAACATAAAATGCAAATATTTATGTTCTGAGTGTATGCGAGACAGGCGGGATTCACGACCGCTGAGAAGGATCGTGAACGTCGTGAACTTTGCGCTTCACAGCACACGTTCCCCACGTTCCGCACTTAAATTTGGCACAATTCGTCGTCAGAGTGCGAGTACACAAAGATATGCTGTGCCACGTTTTCGAGACATGTCACTTGAGGGCTTTTCCGATTGAAAATCACCGTTCAAAGGTCAATGAATGTGTGAAATATGCAAAAAAACGAATTTGGTCTCAAATTACTATGTTACCCAATGTAAACTGAAAGCGCGTCCGGTCATTAGGGCATAATGGTCAATTCCACGAGGAAATTAGACGTTGCCGACTAATTTTGACGCTAACAAGTTAATTAATTTCCAATTAGCACTAATTTGATTGAATTTACATTAATTTCTGCGCACTTCTGCTGTAAAACACGATTAAAACTTTAATTCACGCATTTTTCATACTTTTTAATACTTAACATAAGCAAACTTTATGTTGACACTTCACAAAGTAAATAAACTGTGTTTGTTTAGTAAAAAAACTACACGTTCGTCGCCTAATATGTTTTTAAAGTCTCATATTCCATAAACGAAACATTACACCAAGCGATAAGTTTTTTTCCCTCATGCTTCATTAAAACAGCCTAAAATTTCATGCATGATTAAATCTCTAGCTTGATCTGAGTTTAAAACATCTTAAAAAATAACAAATTTTAAATTACCAGATGAAATTGTAGTACCTAAACTTCGTAGATGCATGAATAAATGCATTGAAAATAAAGACGCATTACATTTTACGAGTGTTGAGCGCATAAAACTTTACTCGAAAACCAATTTTTCATGATCAACACTATTCTTACACAATCTCGATAAACAAATGTATTTTACCAATTTATGCAAACACATCACTTTACAAGATGGATTTTCATTTGTTTTTCAATTTTATGTGTTTGCATCAACATATTTATTCGGTAAAATTTCCTCTGTTGCCGTTATTTATTAGAGTTTATTAATACTCAGTTTGTTTTATGATTTATTCTTTTTATGCATTTTATAACCGCAGAATTGTTACTGTGGAAATTTCCATTGCTTGGAAATATTTTCAATTAAATTGCAGCAAAGAAACATTAAATTATTTCAAATTAATTCTACACGAGTCAATGAAAAGGTCCTTTTATTGGTACACATGCAGATGTGAAATGAAGCATGTACTACGCCTGCGTCCTGCTGGAAACGCCAGCAGGACACGCCGCGTTTGGCGTCGCGCTGGCAGGCAGACAGCAGGCCAGCAGGCGTTCTGCGTTCAGTGCGTTCAATCAGTCGCAGGCTGCGCGTGTTCAGCTTCGCGTTCTCGTCGCTTTCAAACCCGCAAAACGGCGATGCCGGTCGTCGAAAAAACGCCAGAACGACGCCGCCCGCGCGACCGGAAACTCCACCACCATACATTTTATTTCTGTGCCAAAAGGACATAAATTCACCGCAAACACGCGCTATAATTACCGAAAATTAAAAAACAAAAGTGAATGGAATTACTAAAGTATTAACTACTTTTAAACTACATTGTAGCCTGAGCGTTATTATGTTAAATCAACGGTTTTTAACGAACGTTTAATAGAGTTGTGTGCTGTGTGTGATTTCGTTCACTCCCCGCGGCACGTGGTGACTGTGGTTACCAATATGATAACGCAATCGTCTGTGAAGTAAAGTTGTCGACTCCCGATTACTGGCGCGATTGGAGTGCCGACACGCGGATCGTTAACATTCTCAATCGATCGCCGCTGTGAACATGATTGGCATGATCTCTACTAATTGACACGAAGAACACAGTGTTCGTGTGTTGTGAGTGCGCGCGTTGTGGTTTCCTCGCAAAAGGTGAAGCAATGAGTTCGCCAGCGAAAGTCGACAACGGTGTGCAGGACCGCCTCCTCGACACCGCCGCCAACAAGGACGACAAGAATGTGCAAATCGTCAAAAAGACAGAAAATGGCAAACATAAAAAAGGTATGCGCATAAAACATTAATAAATAAATTAAACAAATACCTAGTTATGGCAATCACGCAATGAACAAAATTAAAATGATTTATTGTAGAAATCATTCACAAATTCCTCGCGTGACGGAAAACATAATTTTTAATGAAAAAATTTAATTTGAGTGCAAACACTATAAAAATCTAAATAAAGCGTGTGTGTTGCAGTAGTTCACAAAGCAAAACACGTTCTATTTCTATAAATGGCACAGCACGCACGATAATTTAATTTGGAATTGGAAACAGATGCAGATATTTCATTTCCGCACTCATTCTACCTATATTTTCTCTTTGTATCCAATCTATTTATTTCCGATAAATACTATGTTTATGATTACTAAGGTTTTTAAAAACTTTCATTTGTGTTTTGAACTTTAACGACTTAAATTAGCAATTCAAACGAGTCTAACAACATGTCGAAAGTTGGATGAGTTAAACACATACATGAAATTCTCCTTGACCTAATATGCGCGTCCGTAGATGATGTGAACTTGTGATTTAACACCAATTTTAATTGTAACCAGAAACTATAGCTGTACAAACTGGATTAGACCAATTTGAGTGGAAAAACTGGCGTAGGAAATGACTGCATGTGACTCATAGCGATCAACACATGAAACCAGATAGATAATGAAAGCAAACGCTGTGCCAGTGTCGCCTTTTGATTGCGTCCAATAAAACCAAGCGTCTGATTATTTATTATTAAAGCGAATCGGACCACACACAACACTCCCAACTGTCAGTCTTAATCGGAAACGTCCAGAAGCGCTTCAATTGCGTTCAATTTTACGTTAATAATTGTGGAATTTGCCACAGTGTTGATTTTAATTAAAAGTTTCACGCTTTAATTCAAGCGCCAAAAACAAAACAATGTCGCAACGTCTGAAAATGGCACGAGTTGCACCATGATGGCGGCCGAGCCTATTTGTATTGATGTATGGTTTGTATCGTTTCTAGGACAGGAAATTAATTTGAACTACGCACGAGAATGAATTGTAGCGGCGTCGAGGCAAATTATATTGTTGATTATTTACCTATGCTTACATTTTGGACAATGCACGAATGGTCTAGATGTTTACTCTGTGAGTAAATCGAGTTATTTGTACGAAGAATTAGCCCACTGTGTTTGCATGCCTATTTCTAGTCATAACTAGCGAAGAATTTCGTGTTTACCAATTGCTAATGCCATTGTCGACCGTGAATGTGTCATTTGTTGTCAATTTATCACTGTGATAAATGTATTTTGGTGATCGTTAAACACGAATCAATAAACCTACGAAGCCAACAGACCGAATAAAATCTTTTATTTTCACATTTTCCAGCGAAAACAGATGCGTTGCAGACATTTGGTTCGTTAACCCTATTTTAACAAGAATTACAAGACCACAAAAAGTGTAATTATCCGTAATCCTTGAGATCAAAATTGAGCGCGTTTTTTGCGCCTCTAAATTGGCCTCAAATTAGAAATTAAACCGAATCAAGGTTGGCATTTACATGCGGCATAATTCATTACGAGTAACAAACATTAGATGACTGATTAGATAAACGAAATTGCGATTTATGCGCGGGTTGTGTGAAGCATTATTTACACATTTCGCCACAAGTACAACTCTACTACAAGTTATGAGTTACTTGATTCAGATCACACTTCAAACATGTCATTCGCGAGAAATAAAAGAAAAAACAATAAAAACTAAACCATACAGTGCAGATAACATTACTTTCGCTCTCAATTTATAAATTACATTTACTTGGTGAACTCCGGCTACGCGAATCATATGGCGTTATTGATTTTCACCACGAAACTCAGGTCCCCACGTGCCAACGTTGCAACAGCTGCAAACAGATAGAATCCTGTCTTTTAGTTACATTTCCGGATGCAACTCACCCTGATATATTTACATGTAACTATCGATTGCTATCTGCCATCATTACACATTGACGTGTCCGAAGGGTGAACGAACCAGTCGTGCTTGCAATGCTTTCAATTGCAATGATTGCAACATTGCGCGTAGTAAATGCTAGTAAACAAGCGATGACATGATGTTTCATTACGTGTCATGCTTACGCGTCATTAGTTTCGACCAAAACACATCGATAGTGATTTAATTTCACCATTTTTTACTTTGTAAAATTAACTTTTTATTTGTACCAATAAAAAAACGCCTGTCGACTGGTATCTAATGAATATTCCAGTCATAAAATCGTCACGAGTCGTGTTCATGTGTGAATAATTACCGAGATTGCTTTGTTTGAAGTTATGCAACAGAAAAATGCAATAAAAAACATGGAGGAAACGTAGAGGTTATCTCACGTTTCGATGAACCATCTCGTGGACGCGCTCGTGTTGCAAATATTTGCATATCATAACTATTGCAAAAATTCATCACTTTAAGCACATTTCAAGGACGTTTAAGTTCACTTTGTGTGCTTTTTGTACCTGATTTATTTTTTCGTTTTTTTGCTTATTTAAACTTTTCTGAAACTGACCGTAACCGGTACGAGTCTAAGTGTAGATGATATGTCTCCACTCATAATATGTAATTGTCGTGGCGAATTCAAGGTTTCCACGACGCGTACGTAGATTTAATGAGCCTTTTGTTTCACGACTGTGGACGTGCCGTAATTGTAGATACGTCGAACGCCTCAGAAGGCGGCTATGTACATAATTTCGCTTTCCTTCGACTTCGATAGCCGCGTGTGTTTGCTCGTGCACTTGTTTTCGTCGCAACAGATTATCTGTTGACGTTCGAGAGTCAGCGAATTTACAATTCGCAATTTCCTTTCCGAATCAGGCCACTGATTAAAATCACAATATGTTTCTTTCATATCTGATCGACGTAACTTTCGAACAATGGGCGTTGAAATTGATCAAATATCATTTTCGCCGCTGCAATTTCAAACTTTTAAATTATTACCTTCTACGTAAAGTAATATTTTTTGTTGCTGATAAGCTATCGCTAATGTTATAAGTTATAACTGTGCGGCATATTTTCGATCGTTTGGTTGTCATGGCAACCAGACTATCCTTGAAGTTTGTTACCGATTTACGATTTATTTTATTTTTATGTGCTGAAGGTTGTAGCTTGTAGCACTAATGACGAAATTCTGTTTTCTTTTCCAGAAGTGGCGATTGTAATCAAAAACAATGACAAAAAAGATTGGAAGCTGGTGCCGCCGGACGGTGGCTGGGGTTGGTTGGTGTTGTTGGGAGCAACGATGGTTAACGTCCTTGTTCCAGGCACTGTGAAATCCTTCGGCGTGTTATTCGTGGAATTTTTGGAAGTTTTCCAGGCGTCACCGGCCACAGCCGCATGGATCCCAGCCCTTTGTTACTTTTTATACAGCTCTTTAGGTAATCCACTCTAATTCCTACATTTTTCGCAAAAATTAAACAAAAATATTTTTATTTTCAGGCCCGGTCTCTAGTATACTATCGCTGAAATATTCATATCGCACCGTCACCATATTGGGAGGTACATGTGCAGCTTTAGGAATGATTTTAAGTTATTTTGCCAATTCAGTTACGTTCTTGTACCTTAGGTATGTACACCCCTTTCTCGGACATATCTATAAGCATCATGTGTGCATCTTTCGCTTTCTAATCTTCCGCTAAATGTACACCACACACATTACGATTAAAATAAGATTATCTACGAGATCGTTTTGTGGGCATTGCGTTTATTATGAATAAATTCTTGGTGACTTGTTACAGTTACGGCGTGTTGGTCGGTACGGGCGCTGGGTTATCATTTCCGCCTACGGTGTACATCGTGACCAGCTATTTTGTGCGTTATCGTGGACTTGCTAATGGATTATGCATTTCCGGGTCGGCGATTGGTTCAATCATCTTACCGCCATTGCTACGCGTACTTTTAGAAATCTACGACTATAGGTATAACCATCAAATGCTTACCAAACATAAAAAATGATTTTTGAAATGTTTTTTTAGAGGTGCTGTCCTTTTGATGGGTGGTATTACTCTGAATGTCTTAGCAGCCGCGCTTCTATACCACCCTGTAGAGGACCACATGAAAAGGGTACCTCGAGATGAAAAGGATAACGAAATCGAAGAGGATCCCGAAGAGGAACCTTTGAAACCCAAGTTCATGATCACAGGCGATGATAGCTCATCACTGCATTTAAACCGCAATGACTCCTTCGTTGAGAACACGGATATCACGCAGAACAAGTTCATCCGCAGTGTTTCCAGTGTGGCGGTACCTAATTATCGAAATCATGCGTTCGGGCGCGAAAGGAAAATCTCCATGCCTGGTGCGCCTAGGAATGAGATGACCCGGGTGAGATCTGGTGTTGCAGTGTCGAATATGCACAGCAACAACAGTGCTACTGCATTGGCCGCGCTCCCGGAAGGAATGAACGGCCTTGGAGAGTATCCGCACAGTAGACAAACCAGTACAAGGAGAAGAGTCCCGCGTCGTAGTCCATCCACAAGCTCATTCCAATATATCTCCACTCCCTACCACGGCAGTACACTTACCCTCCAACCGGAAATCTTCGCCTCTTCTTTCAGTTTGCGTTCTACGCAAACCAAAGCATCTGATGGGCAAACTAAAGCCCCTGTTGACCAAAAGAAGAAATTCTTTGACTTAAGTCTCCTAAAAGACCCGCTCTACCTCATTATTCTCATCTCTAACTCGACGAACGCAATCAGCTACACGAACTTCATCATTCTCCTGCCGTCCTTCGCCATCGCGCTCAACTACGATAAAAACCAAGGCGCGCTTTTACTCTCCGTGGTCTCTGCGTTGGACCTGGTGGGTCGCATTGGTGGTTCCGCCCTGTCCGATTTAAATCTTATCCCGAAACAGTGGTATTTCATCGGAGGCCTTCTTGTATCAGGCATATCATTAGCCATATTACCGTTTTTCGAAGGCTATGTTATGATTTGCATATTTTGTTCGTGTTTCGGACTCGCGTCGGGTATGTACGTAGGCGTGACGGCCGTGATAATGGCCGATATGTTAGGCACAGAACGCCTGCAATCAACGTATGGGATTTCGTTATTCGTCAACGGAATTCTACAATTGATCGGACCACCCATTTGTGGTATATGGTTCGAAAGTACAAAATCCTACGTATCACTATTCTTCTGTCTCGGAATGGTACTGATCGTAGGTGCTGCTATCTGGGGCTTTGTGCCGTTTATTAAAAAACGCAAGCAAGTCGTAGAAAATGCAGAAAATGACTACGACGACGAGGCTATCGAAGAAGAATAGCTTATTTCTTAAACTTACCAAGCTTTTCTTGTCTTCCCATTGCAGATTTATGCAAACATGCAAGTTTTACCGTATTTATATGTACCAGAACTTCCATTTCTTAACTTAACATTTATTTTTATTTATAAAGTTAACCATATTTTAGTTACTGACGATGTACGGCTCGGGTATTGGGTTTTCGCTGATAATTTTTCGATTAATTTATGAAATGTCGCGGCTAGTGAACAAATATTGTATTTAAATGATGACGATGGTGAAGACTTAGCTCAAGTCAATTGTGTATTGAAACTGACTCTAGTGATCTATGCAATATTGTACTGTACTTAGATAACTACAATGATTGCTGCACAGCTGATGCCTTTAACAAAAACATTCAAGAGCGGTAGAGCTTGAATGATGCACAATGCGTTGACGAAACGCAAGAAGAGAATTATTTTCAAACAAACTAGATAATTGGACCACTTCAGGGTTAATAATATGACTAATACTGCAAGTTTTCTATGTAAGTGACGACGTGTGGTGTGAATTCCCATGCCCATTATGTTAATAAATTAATTAAATGATAAGTTGTACTTATGTTACCATTTGTATAATATATTATAAAGTTTAATGTATGTTATGACTTTTTATTCGTAAATTGCACACCATTATTGATTACTTTACTTAATTCTACAAATGACACATTACCCATGAGTAGAAAACAATATAAAACATTGTTTTCACATATTGGCGAATCAACTGAGATCTTCTTTAAGAACTATACTATCTCAAGATGACGTTCAACCTTAATCTGAAGGTTTCCATGTGACTACCTGCATTTTCCTGTTTAATTCTTCTAAAATCAATGAACACTGCAGGTGTTTTTCTGGGCTTAGATTTGCCATGATATCATCATCATCATCCTCCTCTTTTTTCATCTTTTTTCTTTTTGGTTTCGATAATTCACGCCGTGCTATACCATCTTCATCATTATCACATTCACTGTGCCTGGTTTTTGTCTACAATTTCATTTATAATATTTGCCAACTGTGGACTTATTACTTAATACCTTTTTGACCTGCTTATCATACTCCAATGCATCATAATAATCTGGTTTTTCTCGACGTACGCGCTGCGTGCGTCGACGTATATCGTCTTGTGGATTGGCAATAGAAGTGACTTTTGCTGTTTTTCTAGCATTAAAGAAAGAATGGCCACAAGGACATGCTTTGCATGCTACAGGGACCTTCAAAATTCATTCATCAGTTAGGAATATTATTCGATCGTGGTTTTGTTTACCTGCTGGTCGCATTTCGGGCAACCTTTGGCAATCATTGGAAGAAATTGACCACTACATGATTGAAGAAGTAAACAATGAAGAATAGGCTTGTCAGCAAGCAAAACAAAGAGCAACAAAGAAGCGCGGTGGTTAGAATTGTAACGTTATTGACACCCGCACTCGTGGAATTATCGTCGTCACGAGGAGACGATAGTCTACCGATAGAATCACGTTAAACTACCTTAAAACGTAAGGTAAACTAATCGCAGCACATAATTACATGCTACAAGCACTTGAATCAGTGCTGTCAAGGCTTTTCAAGGATGTTTAGTATACTAGGCGTTTACGAATTGTACTCTAAACATTTTAATAACAATTAGTCATGGAAAACAAGTTTTTATTACCAAAACAAAGGAGTATTGTTTGGTATGAAGTGTAAACAATGTTTTTGTTTACATTGCAAAGAGTCAGATTCGTCAAAACATAAAAAACTTGTTTTATTTTAGTCTTGTTTTAGTACTCGTAGCGACATCTTAACAAAAACAATTCAACTAAGTGACAACCGCTATCAAAACATTGCTTAAAGGTTAAATCCAATAGAAAAACATTACCAATAACTCGATTATTTTAATATTGCCGGAAGAGTAATTTTAAAAAGTGTTTTCCAAATGGAAGCTGCAAAGCGTTCGCGGATAGACGCCAAGTGTTACAATGAGCAACGAAACTATCGCAAGCGTTCTAAAGTTGCAGGCGCGGGTCTCTCAGGGAAAGATTCACCTGGTAAGTTTCTATTGATTGTTTTTGATAATTTAAACCATTAAACTCTATAATTTCAGTTAAAGCTTTGATATTAGACAATGGAGGATACTCTATCAAAGTTGGATATAGCACAGACAAGAAACCACTGTAAATATTTTGTATATTGCAAAAACTATAGAAATTATATTCTATTTTGTGTTTTGTAGAAATTTACCAAACTGTATTATGAAAGCAAAATCAGAAAGGAAGAGAGTGTTTGTATCAGACCAAATTGAAGACTGCAGAGACCTCTCAGGCTTGTATTACATGTATCCTCATGAAAAAGGATACATTACAAAGTTTGATATCCAGAAAAATGTTTGGGATTACACCTTCAACAAGTATCCTATTTATGATAACACTGTGATGCTCACACAGCCAATTTATAACTTTAAAACTATTCAGGAATACACTGATGAAATTTTCTTTGAGGAATATGATATCAAATCAATATTCAAGGCAAATGCAACAGATTTATGTTATTACAAATATAACAAACAATTTAAAGGTAAGTACTGCTTCTTAACTCACAAAACAATTGTTTTTGTAATTTTATGATGATGTTTTAGCTGTTGATAACTCTTCTTGTCTTGTGGTTGATTCTGGCTTCAGTTTTACTCATATTGTTCCTTATATTAATGGAAAAAAATATGCAGATGGTATAATCCGGATAAATCTCGGTGGAAAACTGCTCACAAACTATTTGAAAGATGTTCTTTCCTATAGACAACTTCATGTGATGGATGAAACTTATGTTATTAATCAAGTCAAGGAAGATTTGTGTTTCATGGCGAATAATTTCAAGGCTGACATGCACAGAGCAAAGACCACACACGAAATTGTTAAGAATTATGTCCTGCCTGATTTTCACAACATTCGACGCGGATATATCCAAGAGAATCCAACAGATGAACTAGCAGAAAACTGTCAAATCTTAAGACTTAATAATGAACGTATTACAATACCAGAAGTAATGTTAAGACCGTCGATTATCCCTGGATATGACTTTGCTGGGATGGCGGAATGCATTGGACACTCAATAAAAAGATGTCCTAAAGAGTATCAAGCAGAAATAGCGCAGAATGTTATCCTTGTTGGTGGAAACACTTTATTTCCTGGATTTAGGGATCGGCTTGAAATTGACGCGAGAATATTTTTACCATGTGACTATGATCTTAAGATATATCAACCGGACGATCCGTTAAATTATGCATGGCTTGGTGGGAGATTAATGTCCAAGGATCCTGCGTTTAGAAAGCGTTGTGTAAGCAAACAAAAGTACGAAGAAGAAGGCTCGAATTATCTTTATGATAAGTTTAATGCGTATAGTCGGGTGGAGAAAGATCCACCAAAGGATAATTCTGACAATAAAGAAGAGTTTAGTTATCTCAACTATTGGAAAAACGAAGGAGTGGATATTTTCCAGAAGGAACCACTAGCTCCAGTGAAAGATCCAGAGATACAGTTTAAACTTGAAGGAGAAAATATAGAAGAATACGATGGCAAGTTTGTTTCACTTGATTTCGAAATAGAAAACCCTGCAGAAGAGAAAACTGAAGAAATTATAACTTCAACAACAGCAGCTGAAGATGCTGCTAGGTTGTTAAGGAGAAAACGATCGATAATCGCCAATTCACAGAGTCTTCTACGACCTACTACAGTTTTACCAACAACCAGTAAACTAATTCCAATTGCCACGTCGATTGGATCACTTACTCCGACATTAACAACGTTAACAACGACAGCAACAAGTCGAACGATTACAACTCTATCATCCAACAAGCAACTAATTCTTGGGAGTTTAACGAAAAGTGGACAACTTGTATCGATAAACTCCAATATGCTTAAAACAGCTCGTGTGAACGCACCCAATATCCTCAACAATAATATTGTTTTACCAAGATTGACAAGGATTCAACCGCGTGTTATTCGTCCAGTTTTTAAAACTGTGCAATCCGGTACAATTGTAACTTCACAGCAGGGCAAAATTACACAGTACATTTCTTTGGGTAATTCAGTGAATCTAAGCAGTTTAGCCGTGCAGTCGACTGCTAGCAGCTCGAAAACTGTCTTAGCGCCCAGCATTTTGAATAATGCAGTGATCGTTCCGCAAAACATGCTCGCAAGCAAAAATTTAACTTTTCAGATTATTCCGATCAAGCCCGGCCAGGGAAATATTATATTAACGCAGGCCAAGACCTCGCAAGAGCAAAAGTAATTGTAAGCGTTTGTTAGACATGGAAATAAAATATTTATTTTTTACTTCTGATGACTTGCGTTTTTGTATCTTTGCGCATCCGCGTAATTATTCGAGAATTGTTAAAGTTTCAGTGTTACCTGACTACGTCGCGATGTTCTTTCATGGACTTGACGGATATTTACACGGTTGAAGGTCTTTGAACTTGTTTTTTTGTTTAATTAATTAGTTTTAATGAGGAGCTGCTAACGCTTTCGTTGATGCGCGAAACAATAATGGCACTCAGGAAAACGGAAGTGCAACTTTTGATTCAAATTCCCTGTAATTCCGGTTGGTGTATTGCTGGTTGCCTATATTAACCTATATTTTGCCGCATTTTGGCTTGTGCGCACTACATGAACGTGATTCCTCCTTCCAATGCGTACAAAAACTGAATCAACTCATAGATAAGCGGCAAAACGCTGTCGAAGTCATCATAGATAAGTTTTAATTCAGTCAATAGTCAACTCATACCACAAAAATTAGAATTTTAATCATGCCTTCATTAATAGAAGTAAGTGAACTACAATACTTAGTCATAATTACTACAAAAACTCAATTTTAAGTTATTTTCAATGATTTTTTATACATTAGGTTAAAGCCAGACAATCATAAAGTATTTCTACACCAATTTACACAATACACCTTTATTGACACTTAAATTACCATGTTTATCTCATTTTTAGGATGGAAAATTGTCCCATCTGATGATGATACCACTGACAATATTCACCTTCTTTCTTATTGCTATGATTTATTCAAAAAAGACCAAGAAAGTCAAACTGATCATCAATGAGGAGGAATTAAGAACTAGACTTGAAAATTACACTCCAGAACCTTTAGCATCAGTTGTAAATGAGACATATAAAGAACCTAACATTCCTGAGCATGTTACCCAGAGCAATAACTTATGCAGGAGTGATTATTTATGCTTAACAGATAGTAAGGAAATCAAAAACATTGCCACTTCTTGTATTAAGAAGTATGGTGTGGGCTCATGTGGACCAAGAGGATTTTATGGCACAATTGATTTGCACTTGGATTTAGAGACAAGAATTGCTGAGTTTATGAATCTGGAGGAGACTGTTCTGTATTCCTATTCATTATCAACCATGTCTAGTGCCATTATTGCTTATTGTAAGAAAGGAGACATGTTATTTTGGTATGTAACAGAGTAGAATCGCATTAAGAATGATCTTTTTATTTTAATCTTTTAAATGCATTTTAGTGATGATAAATTAGCATCGTCAACAATTCAGAGCATTGCAGCTGCTAAATCATCAGTAACTTTCTTTAAACACAATGATGTGAAGGATTTAGAGCAGAAATTGATTGATTTTGACAAGGGGCAACAGAATAAAGTAAATATTTAAGTTTTTTTAATGATTTGAAGTGTTTTACGTGATATTTTGTAGAAAATCAAAGCTAGGAAGTTTCTAATCATCGAAGGGTTGTACTATCGTACAGGACAAATGTGTCCGCTTGTGGATCTGATGAAAATCCGTGAGAAATATAAACTTCGCATGTTTTTGGATGAATCACTTTCTTTCGGTACGATTGGTTCCAATGGTCGTGGAGTAACAGAACATTTGAATGTTGACGTAAGTTTTTATACAATTTCCATTAAAATCCAACATTATAACACTTTATTGTTAATTTTCACAGAGGAGCGACATAGATTTAATTGTTGGTAGTCTAGAATACGGCATACCATCAATTGGTGGTTTCTGCGTTGGCAGTAACTTTGTCAACGAACACCAAAGACTTTCCGGACTTGGATATTGCTTTTCTGCATCATTACCACCACTTCACAGCGCTGTAGCTCACCGTATCATTGATATGTTTGAAACTACACCTGAGTTGTTCACTAAACTGCATGAAATCGCTAGGAATATTCATGATAAATTGGCAGATATCGAAGGATTTGAAGTTATCAGTCATCCTTTATCGCCGAAGAAGGTTTTGAAGTTGGACGACATGGACGCGGAGACATTCTTTGACAAAGCGTTGAAAGCAGGCGTGCTTTTTAATAACGACGAGGAGAACATTGTTTCTTTTAATGTTAATATTAAAATGGACGATGAGTATATTGACAATTTAATGGGACTTATTAAGAATGTTGTTCAGTAAAGTTTGTGGTGATTGTTTTACGGTTTTACTATAGTATGACGAAATAGTGAGCACGTTCAGAATTGAATTCAGTCTACGCACTACAAAATAGAGTTTTTATTGATAAGTAGAGGCAGCTTGTGATTTTATCAGCGTTTGTATTTTAATATAATTATATCGTTGTACGTTTGTAATAAAACGCTAAGTGACCTCTCAAATTTTCATGGTTTTATCACTAAAGAGAATTTTCCGTAGATTAAGAATCATTAATTTGTTTCTTTCTATCGTTTTTGTTTATGAGACAAACGCTATCGAAATTATGCGGCAGCAGGGCTGGTAAAATGCAATTTGGCTGCTTATTTTCTTCCTCCTCCTCCTCCAACTAAAGTTTCTTCCAATATGAACAAAATAAACTGCCAAAACTTATGTAACACATGTAATAACATAACAAATAAACTTTCTAATGTCATGCCGCATGACGATATAATCGTTGATAATGGTTACATTAAATACATTAAATATGTACTTTAATTGAGCAAATAATAGCTACAAATATACTGATTATATAAAAATGGATTAAGTCAATTGATCACAGTTTGGAAAATGCTAATTAGGCGAAAAATTGAAATAAATCGAATATATGATGACGTAAATAAAAAAAATAGACTGTTATTGGTAACCTACTATGTTTTCCTTTGATCTAGCTTTATATTTTCTTGACCTAGTTACAAATAAAACGTGAAAATCCGGTCCTGCGAGCCAGGAAATTTGTTGTTCGTTCAACAAATGCGTCTTGTCCGTGTAACGGCGTTGTAATACCGATACAGTTACTCCCGTTGTATGCAGTTAAGTGACTTGCTGGACCTACTGACTTATTATTAACAATAACAAATAGATGTACATCGTCTCTGCTCATTAGAAACGCGAGTGAGATATTCAGAAGTAATGAATATGATTGCCTAATGCCCTAATTGCCTAACAATCTCATGAAATACGTAGTTCGTTTTAACCTACAAGTTGACATTGCTTTGTTCATTATCACCAAATCACGCATAGGTAAGCATATTAATAATTGTTTAATGCGGCTGATTGCGACTGTTATTATTAATTCGATGGAATATATTCAATTAGTACGAATTGTTTGCTGCCATGTGAAAAGTTTCACATTCTTGTATGCTAAAAATACAAAAATTGAACATTCAGGAAGAAAGCAGCATAATTTAACATTTAGCATAACATTTAATGCTGTGATTTAATGCTTGTTTTGCTAAAAGATGTAGATCCCCACTCAAAACATGCTCAAAATGTTGGCTGTGATCAAAAAGTAAATGTGTTGCATTGTTGTGCTGTGTTGTGGAGGAAGAGAAAGTGCTTTTTATGATTTCATAGTTATGTAAGGCCCAGCCAACCATTTCACTTTCATTCCTCTCAGGTAATTCCCAGCCATTCAAGACATTCCACTGCTTCAACCAGCTAGCAGCTGCTACAGGAATGGAGGTCTCCAGCACTCAAACCAGAGCCATTGGCAGAGGTAGAGGCAGACCAGCACAAGCATTATACATGCCACCTGCAAGAAGGCACAGAGAGTGAGTGCAGGGTTCAATTATTAATAAAACAATCAACGTTTCCGTGTTATCTAAGTGATAAAGTGATAAACTGATGAGATAAGTGTAGATTGTAATAAAAGTTCCTTATTGCAGGCCTACAGTGCATAATTGTGACAAAATGAAAACTGATAACAAGCCAATACCAGAATCTACAGATATTAAGGTATACTTGCATGGATTTGTTGTAAATGTTAATAAAATCATTATATTTTCGTAGATAATGGACGATTCCGCAATAGATATCTCAGAAAACGACGAAATTCCACTTCAAAACTTTGTTGATCTCAACATAAAAGACATAACAAACAAGTGCATCAAATCACCAAGAAGTGAATCACAATCAAACATAAACAATAAAATACCAGTTAATATCATTGACAGTGTGCAAGAAAATGTAAAAACACTAGATTCAGACGTAAAAAAACGAAAAGATGAGGCAAAAACACCCAAAACGCGTAACTCGAAAGTGATGGACGTGAAGTGCGACGTTTTGCAAATCAGTTCAGCGAAAAATATCAAAAAATCACCGATTAAATTGGTACAGGTCGATCAATGGGAGGATTTGGTCAACAGCGACGAAGAACCGTCATCACCTGATGGTACAGTACAAAAAAATGTACGCAGTTTATCAATACTTAAAAAAAACATTTGTTAATTTAAAATATTAATTTCAGAAAGCTGTGATTACCAAATATGACGATGATGACCATGAAGAATATGAAAATCTCAACAATGATCAACTTGAGCATATTGTAGAAATCTACGATTTTCCTTCGACGTTCAAAACGCCTGATATCATGCAGATTTACAACGAAATGGACCAGGAGTCGATGTATATCAAGTGGTTGACTGAAACACGTGCGCTTTTGGTTCTTGGTTCAGCTATGCAAGGTATAAAGTTAAATTTTTACTAAAACTTTATTTTAATTTATGTGTTTTGTGTCTGTGTAGCAAAACGCGCGCTTGGAATTGAAAATCCCTTCATAAAATCGCGCCCAGCTGCACTAGGAAGTCACATGGCGTTGGAAGCAGTGCGTACATCAAAGCTGCGACCTGCAATGAAACGTCCACAGACATCAATGCAAGCTGCGCGCAGAATGATCACCACCGCTCTAGGGGCGAAGAGCACAGTTAGTCGGGAAGTACAGCAACGTGAACGTGACGCTCTGCGGAAAGCCAAGGAAGAGAAACGTAATCAGAGACAAAGCGAACGCGATGCCTGGGAGGGTAATCCACGCCCAACATCTGCTTGATTCATTTAAATGAAGTCTTATTTTAAATTTTCTCATCTCTATCATGTTAAAATTGTAAGAATGCGTCTTGATGTGATTTCAAGCCGTTTGACATTAGTGCCTAATTGAACAATGTGATAATAGTTGTATGAACCTGTATTTTGTTTAAGAATCTAAGTGAATGTATGTATTACAACTAACAAACTCAATTGTATTTCTGCTAAAACTATTGTATTGTATTCCGTGCAATGTTAGGTTCAAATTGAGGTAATTATTGTACTTTTAGTCAATTAAAGTAAAGCTAATGACTGTTGGTAACATGATTATGGTCAATTTGGAAATAAAAACGTCTTGTGACTTAGTAATTATAAGAAATTTGGAAAAACCAGTTGGTTAAATCACTTTAAAGATGTAAGAATAGTGAATGACTGAGCAATTTGTGAAAAATCAATAATTTCGCACGCACAAGGTCATGCGGAATAGTAGTGGTATGATTTTCCATTAATACATTCATTTAATATAAAAAAAAAACGCGTGAATACGATTAGATCAGAGTGGATGAAGTGACGTGGAACGATTATTACAAAGTAAAAGGCGTTAAAGGCTATCAGAAGTCAACCTCGACTCGAAATATGTATATATCGCAACTCAATAACACTCAACAAGTGAACCTGCGCCTGATTCGCTGAGATTCCTAGCAACCAGGAGAGTGCAGGAGCTGAGGCGTGAACACCGGTTACCAGTGGTTACCAAACTCCATCATAGTTCTAGACACAGCTTAATCTAATTGTCCTACTCTCTCTGCCTGTCGTTCCCCTCTCGATTCACTGCGATACCGGCTTCGGCCTCGTAATTCATGAGAATTTCAACACTTCTTTCAACTTGCACGTAATAGTTGGTTTGTTGCGCTTGGAGAGTTGAATCTAGTCGACCGGCACTCATTTACTAATTGCTATACAATATCAAGTGTTCTAATTAAATACACTGCACCTAAAATTGTTTCATTTGTGAATATCTGTTCTTAAAACGCAATAAAAATGTCTCACGCCGGTCGAGTTGTTATCTATGGTGGTAGAGGAGCTCTGGGATCAAAATGTGTCGCACATTTCAAGGCGCAAAACTTTGTAAGTTGAGAAATTATGAATATAACCCAAAATTTTAATGTTTTTATGTTTAAGTGGGTAGGATCTATTGATCTACATGAAAATACCGAAGCGGATCTTAACATCCTCGTCGAGAAGGACGCTGAAGTGGAAAATCAAGAGTCTGCCATCCTAGGTTCAGTTTCCAAGGCCCTTAATGGTTCTAAATTGGATGCTATCATTTGTGTTGCTGGTGGTTGGGCTGGTGGAAATGCGTCCAAGGATTTAATCAAAAACTCCGACCTCATGTGGAAGCAGAGCGTCTGGAGCAGTTTGATTTCCAGCGCAATGGCGGCTGGTCATTTGAAAGATGGCGGATTATTGGCTTTGACTGGTGCTAAAGCTGCGCTGGATCCAACACCGGGTATGATGGGCTATGGCATGGCCAAGGCTGCCGTTCATCATTTAGTAAAAAGTCTGGCTGGTGATAAGAGTGGTATGCCACCTCAAAGTACAGTTGTTGCTATACTTCCGGTGACTTTGGACACGCCAATGAACAGGAAATGGATGGCCTCTGCTGATTTTACAGCTTGGACTCCTTTGGAGTTTGTTGCTCAGTAAGAAATCGAATTTTAAATGGAAGAACATATGATTTTATTGTTTACTTGTTGCAGGACTTTCTTGGAGTGGACAAAGAATGAAAACAGGCCAGAGAATGGTAGTTTGTGCCAACTTTTGACTGAAAAGTCAGTGACAAAAATCGTCACTTCTTAGAAATGATTAAATGATAAGAGACACATATGCTATGAACAATGGACCAAATAATATCAAAACGAGGACAATGAATCTTCTCTCCATTTTTGTTACTACAATTTGTTACTTGATTCAACTGTTTGTTAGTTGTTTGCGTTTTTCTATTTTTGTATTGTGTAAAATTTCACTTTCAACATTCAAACGTGTTGATGCATGTTCATGTAGTCATTAATCATTATAAATAAAATTATATGAGCAGAAATACATTTTATTTATGTAAATTATATATTATTTTGCTTGGCCCACAAAGCGATCCATTATTAGTGCGTCAATGTGTTTATTACATTCAAAAAGTTAGGTTAAATTATAAACTAAACGATTTTTATAAAGAATCGTCTATAAAATTGAAGAAACTATAGCAATATCGTGAGAAAAATCAAAAATTTACTTGATAAACATTGTACAACATGTTGACAACCTATCTACATGGATTTATCAGTAAATTCATCATAATTGAAGGTAAACATATCCTAGTTTTGTTAAACAGATTACATCTAATAATATTGTTGCTATTTTAGATGATTTAGAAGAACCTGGTGATAAATTGTTTAAAAATCTTATAACATCCGCATTATCAACCAAATTAAACATAATTTACCTACAATTTAGTTTTAATTTGGTCAAAAACATTCCTGACAAGACTAAGGTAACAAAACTTTATGATTTTACAAAGTTATCATCACCAGAAGCATCAAAAACTTGTCAGGATATATTAAATGATGTTAATACTGATTCAATATTGATTATTGATTCTTTATCTCACATGTACTATAAATTAAAAGCAAAGGAAACTTATAAGATTTTAATAAAAGCAACAAAATTGCCAGGTAATTAGAAATAACAAATATATGCTGATTATCTATTGGTAAATTATAAGTTTGACTATAATATGATTGATTTTAGAGTTTAAACAGATTCTAACTCTTCTGCACAGTGATCTATTGCAAGAAAATGATGAAATAATTCATCATTGTTCCTCATTGTCTTCTCTTCACATAAAAATTGAAAGACAATTTGGTGAAGCACGACGTTTGTCGTATTTGTTCAGGAAAGGACGCGGTAAAGCCATCAGAGAAATTGAAGAGTGGTGTATCACTGATGGAAAATTGATAACAAGACCAGTTGCAAAAGTTGATCTGAAAACTTATCTTCAAGAGAACAATCCATCCATTAATTCATTGTCTACATTCAATATTGAGTTGAATGAAAAGGATAAGCAGAATCGCAGTCAGATGGATCTACCGTTTTACCTAAGTATATTAATTGTTTATTTATAAATTGTTATCAAAATAAAATTAATCTCTTCTTATTTACAGAAATCTACAAAGTAGCGGTAATATCGAGCCAAAACAAGGTGAAATTGATTATGTTTTCGATGCTGGAGATGATTGGGATGCCGAAGACCCTGATGACGACCTGGATATTTAATTATAACTTAAACAAATCAATAAATTACTAAAATTAAACTTTTCCTACATAAAAACCTGTAATATAGGCAATCAGATATACACATTCATGAATTACATTCCATGACCTCAAGAAGTTTTGATATTTGACCGTGTTGATGACAAAACAGCTGGGCAGTGCATAATTGTGATTTCTGCGGTTCGTAATTTGTGGCGTACTAATGATGATACTCTTTTAATTGTTTGCATTGGCACAACGTACACGATAACACGATTATATGCGCGAGGTTGTTGTAACTGTTCCAACCACTTGTTTGCCGAACTACTCGAACAAATGTAACGCGTTGAAATTGCGAGATTATTGAATAAATGTTAATAAACAGCCAGCAGCATGAACAAGGAGGATGATATTTGTTGGTATCATGAGAAACTGACCAGGAAAGAAGCCGAACAGTTACTACTACAAGGTAAAATCTATATTTTTATGTAAAAGTAACATTTTTACATTAAAAAAGTTCAAATTACAGATGGGAATGTGGATGGATCATTTCTAGTGAGAAGGAGTGGATCTTCATCAGGTGATTTTGTCTTGTCAGTGCTGCATAATAATGAGGTGGCACACTTTCAAATTAGAAGACACATTGATGATGCCTTCTTTTCAATTGGTATGGTAAATTATCTACAAATATATTTAGTTATAGCATGAACATAAATTACAGTTGAGAATACAAAAGTGCATGGCCTGGAATCCCTCATAGAATTCTACAAAGAAAACCCTACTGGTATTGATGGTGTTCTATTAACTGAGCCAATAAAGGGCGAATTACCTCCGCACGATACACGTAGGCATGGCCGCACGAATTTGCTTCACCGCGCGGCGAATCACGGCAATGAAACGATTGTTTTGGAGTTGCTGAAGTCAGGATATCGTCACGAGGCGAAAAATGAAAACGGCCAGACTGCCGTGCATCTTGCAAGCATCAAGGGACACAATGACATACTCAGAAAACTGATTGAATATGAAGCAAATGTTAATTCAAGGGACACAGCTGCATATACACCATTACATGTAAGAAATAACAACATTTTAAAGTTTTTAAAGGTTTTTATAAAATAAAAATGTGAATTTTTACAGTATGCATGTAGAAATAACCTGGTTGCAACTGTAAATGTCCTCGTGCGTGAAGGGAAGGCTAATATTCAAGCAAGAAACACCGAAAACGATTGGGTGCCTTTACATGAAGCCGCAAATGCTGGACATAAGAAAATCATTCAAGAATTACTCTCATTGAATGCCCCGGTACGTCCGCGAACAAAAAACAACGAGCTTCCTATTGATTTAGCACGAACAAATGGACATTTTGATTGTGTTGCCATTCTGGAGGAGTACACAGCGCCGAAAACAAAAACAAACATGTCGCAATGGTACCACGGCACATTAAATCGCCAAGAAGCCGACGCATATATTCGTGAATATCAACTGGACATACAAAACGGCACTTTTCTCGTGCGTTATAGCACACGGAACAAAGAACTCGTGCTCACCATGTACAACGAAGGGATTATTTTTAATTTTATCATTAGAAATAAAGATAACTATTATTTTATTGACGATGGGCCGTATTTGGACTCATTGGAGCATGTGATTGAGTACTATAGTTATCTACAGGATGGTATGCCGACGCTTTTGCAGTTTCCGGTGCCTCCCAAGCCGAAACCACCAGTTCCTGAAGTAAGACTTTAAAGAAAATTAGTTTTTATGTGGTTTTTATTGAATTTTTATTTAAATTTCAGTGTAAAACAATTCCACGCCAAAAAAAGAAGCAACCGAACAATTCCAGCACCTCTACTGTATCTACACTAAAACCTAAACCATCTGTACCATCAACAGATGATGAACTACCTAGTCAGTTTCGCAATATCAAGTTTTCTAGTAGCTTCGAACTGGACATCAATCAATCCACTTCGTCGCTGAATAACAATCAAAACGACCTCGATGCCAACACAAACTCAAACTACAATCATTTCGCGTTGGGTATACCTTCATCTCCGCAGTTATTACAACGCAATATTAATCAACAGGAATATATTCCCAAAGAAAAAGTTACACGATGTAACTTATTGGGTGTAGGTGAATTTGGCTCAGTTTATCAAGGTCTGTATCATATTGATGGTACAACAGTGAATGTAGCGATAAAAACCCTGAATGACGAACAAATCGAGCTCAACCAGGAGTCATTTTTACGTGAGGCGCGTGTTATGATGCGATTGAAACATCATTGCATCGTAAAAATGTTGGGATTGTCTTTGGGACCGCCATTGATGATGGTGCAAGAATTACTACCGATTGGTAGTATGTTGCATTATATTGTAACAAAGAAGGATAGCATTAGTGCGGAGCAGGAGTTTTCTATATGGGCTGCACAGATTGCGAGCGGAATGTGTTACTTGGAAAGCGAAGGATTTGTTCATCGGGATTTAGCTGCCAGGAATATTCTACTTGCGAGTGTTAATCAAGCAAAGATTAGCGATTTCGGTTTGTCGAGAGCTGTAGGTGCCGGAAGCGAATATTATAGGTTAGTTTCAGTCACTTTGGGTTGCATACGTTTAATTTAATTTTTATTGTTTATAGAGCTAAAGTTGGTGGAAAGTGGCCGTTGAAATGGTACGCACCTGAGTCATTTAACTACGGCACATTTTCGAATCAAAGCGACGTGTGGAGTTTCGGTGTGACTATTTGGGAGATGTACTCATTCGGACAACATCCCTATGGTGAAATGAAAGGATCTGAAGCAATCGAACTGTTGATGAAGGGTAAACGTTTGGAACAACCGGAAAAGTGTCCGGAGCGCGTCTATGAAAAGATGTTGGAGTGTTGGAGGTTTGAACCCAGTGAGCGTCCGACATTCGCACAACTCTTTGATTTTTTTGCTAACAACTCGGCGTATATCAATATTAAGGAACTGATTGGGGAAGTTAATTTGCCATAGAGTGTCTGTTGCGGTGCCATTTATGAAATTTTTATATGATATTTTATAAATGAGAATATTTTATGAACAGATTTATAGATTTATAGACGAAGGATGAAATTATTTTAGAATATTTACTATTTATTGATGATTGAGTATGAGTATATTCTAGTGTACGCATCAGTGCATCAGTTTGACGTTATTTTTGTATGCAGATTTTATATTGTGACGATTTAGATCGATGTATCGAAGTATTTTATGAACTGTTTGTACAAAAATCGAGTTTATGTCATGGCATTTTGATATTTGAATGATAACATTAAAGATTGCTTATGTAATAAATATTCTGAAATATAAATTATAAATTGAAAAGTACATCTTTGCGCTATCTAGTATCGATTAATAATATCTATTTTATAATAACTAATTCTTAGCTTTAAAAATTTAACATGGTCAAAATCGATGCAAAAATCGCGCACTGAAACGAAAGATAAACAATATTTTGTTTTCTCTGTTTAGCTCACTGACAACTCTTCACTGCACTCTTCTAAACTTTTAAAATCATCGTTAGATGTCGCTAGAATGTCCATATTCGGATTAAATTCGCTGTTAGATATTTCACGACTTGATTTGTTTGTTCATATCACTTGTTTGTTGGTGGTAGTGAGTGCACTCGACGTGCGTGTGAAATCACGCGATGCGCGTACTTAAAAACTAAAGAGATAAACGCAAAAATATACGAAACAAATATTGGATGAAATAGTTATACACTTTTATGCTTGTTTAACTTTTTAAAATTTTAATTATTTTACATCAAAATTAAACAACTATAAATTATCAATACAAATTTATCAATAACTTTTTATCTCGTTAACATTTAAATAAATATACATAATTTAATAATGAATTACGTATTCTGCAAAGAAAATAAAACTTTTATAAATAATCAATGATATTAAATGCGTAGATGTATTTATTATATGAAGGAAAATTTAATAAAGGTTCGCAATGGCTTTAATTGTAACTAGTATAATATTCACTTAAATATTCACTGTGCTTTTATTACATGACGTTAAATGTAATTACGAGTGCATTAACACATCGTCAATCATAAATGGAAAGACCAAAATTTATATTAAATCATAATGAAATGACATTATCATTTCATAAATCATTCAAATATACATTTATATTATTTCGATATTTTATTCTCTTCTATTAAAACATCAAGTATCTTAAGAATAACTGAAAAATCCTTGAATTATATTGTTTATCAAGATAAGTTTAATTTAAATCCATAGAGGGCCATACATGTACGTTTCTAGTATTTTTAAGTCTAATGTTTATATTCTTTGTATTTTGAACGATATCGCGATCAAAACATCGCTTCATTTTAATCTTTTCATTTTTTGTGGTATCACGCCACTTTATAAAGATATGCCTGGCGACGTTAGTTTTATTGTCCATAGAGGACTATACCTGTACGTTTCCAGCATTTTTAAGTCTAATGTTTATATTCTTCGTATTTCGAACGATATCGCGATCAAAACATTGCCTTATTTTAATCTTGTTGTTTTTTTGTGGCATCACGCCACTTTTAACGATATACCTGGCGACGTTAGTTTTATCAACCATAGAGGGCCATACTTGTACGTTTGTCATATTTTTAAGTCGTATGTTTACATTTTTCTTCTTCGAACGACAACGCGATCAAAACATCGACACATTTTATCTTTTGTGGTGTCACGCCACTTTATAAAAACACATCAGGTAACGTTAGTTTTATTATTCATAGAGGACCATACCTGTACATTTCTAATATTTTTAAATCAAATGTTTACATATTGTTTTATCATCTTAAATTTATCTTTTGTAGATATACGAGTCATACGAGTTTGCAAAGATTTACTTCTACACAATGCAGGTATTTACAACGATTTGATTTTACCAATATTCATATAAATATTCCAATTTAAAATATTTTCGACATAATACTTCAAATGATGATTGAAGTTTTATTAGCCAACTTAGACGTAAACAAACCGAAATGAATGATTATAAATTCCATTCCCGTTTTGTATTGGCCTGAAAGGGTCAAACCGAAACTAGAATTTGATATTTCATTGCTGCACGCACGCATCTACATCATCTAATATTCTAATACGTGTGGGTCGTGCCGGTTTTCGTCCTGTCGTGACTCCTGACGCTTTCTATTGCTTCCAACTTTTGGTTTTCGACTTTTGACTTTTGACTTTATCGAATGTTACGCGGCGGATTTTGATGCTTTACATCGCGCGGATTAAATATTCCACGCACAGGGCTGCAGGTGAATGCAGAATGCAAACACTTGAAATTATGCAGGGCGGCTTAAATTAGGTTATGTTGCTGATACAAATATCACTATGCATTAACCTGATTATTTGCAGTCTGCTGATGACATATTGCATAAATTATCTATAATTTACGATAGTCCATGCAAATTCTAATCCAATAAATATAATTTCAAACAAATAAAAAATGTCAGGACCCAAAAAAGGTCCCAAAGTGAAAGATTAAATAAAAGGAAGCAAACTTGATTGGTGATTGAGTGCATCTGCGCCAAGTAATGCCATAAAAGAATTTCCCATATTGAATGTTGACTCAGTCCACTCTTACGCCATGTCCGAGCACTTATTTCGAATCTTGCCCCCCGTGTGGATGATCAGACATTTGCTAAAAAAACAAACACTCCCAACTTGTGTTTGTACAATTTGTGTCAATAAGGACATCCATCCGGAGTGCGCCCCCCGAAAAAAAAACCCTCCTACATATGGTGGTGAAAAAAACGATGATGATGATGATGGAAAATAGTGCGGTCCGGCTGGCGTCGGCGGCGCGCCAGCACTATCGCTATGGAGACGCCGCCACCACTGCTGCTGCGAGCTGCTTCGCACGCAGGTGCCAGCTCATGTCCAACCCCCCAGCGATATGTATATATATACCCAGACTCGGCGGCGGCGGACGCATCCAGTCCCGCCGCCTCTCACTACCCGACCGCCAGCGCCAGCCGTCGCAGGCACTCAACAAAACGCGCGTAATATTACGCTTTTAAATCGAACATAACCACACAAAAACTTTTCAACATAACCTCAATTTATTACTACTGGATTCAATTCGATAGGAAAATTTTATGCAATTTTTTTTGTTTCAAGTGTAAAAGTGATTAATGCTTAAGTGATTAAATACAATGTAATATAGTGAGAGTAATGCTGAAGATGTTGATGATGCTGGTGCTGGTCCTGCTCGCGATCGGCGGTGCGCGATGCGCGTTAGAAGCCGAAAGAAAATTGTTACGAATTAATGGCGATATTATCCTCGGTGGTATTTTCCCAATGCACGAGCAAATCAGCGGCAATCCGGACTTTCCGTGCGGTGCGGTTAAAGAAGAGAAGGGCATGCAGAGGTTAGAGGCGATGTTGTACGCCATTGACGAGATCAACGAAAGTCCTGACCTTTTACCGAATGTCACTCTGGGCGCGCTCATCATCGACTCCTGCAGCAGTGACACGTATGCACTGGAGCAGAGCATGGAGTTTGTTCGTTCCTATATGAATCAGGTAATATATTCATATATTACCAGCGCCATTTTGATTTTCTCAATATTTCGACTTTGTTTTGAAACTCTGTTCATCAACTTTGAGCTTGACTAGGCAGAAAGTTTTTGAAAGCGATGTGCACACGATATGGCTTCTCAATTTTGTTACATCTTCCATTTGCGTGGTGCTTGCAAAGTTTTGTAACTTTACGGATTAAATTCTATCAAAAATTAAGGCGAATTTGAAAGCGCAAAGCATGACACTGTGTTGTTGTCGACCCTTCCTGACACTCGACGTGGAAACTTTTACAGTTGGCTTGTTTTTTAAAGATTTTGCAAAACATTCGCCGCTGCGTTGCCACTGCGAACATCCTTCGAAGTTAGAAATGTGTTCAGGGATGGAGGAATACAAAACTTTTCGGTGTTTTGCTTCGACTTTTGTCTTCTTGTCAGTGTTACATTTATTTCTACACTTTTAAAAGTGTAGTCATAGTTAAACAACAGTGCCATCTGTGCACTGAACTAATTTGTTGCCAATTAAATCCAAAATCAATAGTGTTGACGTATTTGTACGAATGAATAAAAGATCCGCGTGGAAATGTCGAATGTCAAGGATTGGTCTGTAATTATACGCGAATGCATAAAAAATATTGTAACATAAATATTTCACAGGGCGTAATCAGGGTTCGCACACGCGGTGTGTTTTTCATTTGCTTTTATTCTATTCTATTCATCGGCGAAGCCAAACGCCAGCGCTGCCGAAGAACAAAAGCCGTGGTAAACAATAGCAATATTGACTATTGTGCAGAGAACGTTCTGCCAAACATCGCAGCGGCGGTGAAAAATAAATGTTAACGCTAGTTAATCCATGATTTGTGTTTAGCTCAAAGCAATATGTTATCATGACACGGAAAACCGTATGTAGGCAACTTTTTTCACACGTAAACAAATTTAACCTTTAATCTAATTTTTCCGCTGCGAAATTTATCTACAAACTTTTTATCTGCGTAATTATAAAATGGAATTATTCCAGCCAAGAGTCAAAACAAAGCAATTACTCTATTTACACAGTTGACCTCAATAAATTTAAGTTTCAAAAATCTCTCTCCGTGCAATCAATATATTGTTACCAATCCCAAACTTGGGACTTGTACGCGTAACTTGTTACTAGCGTGTAACATTTGTGTAAAGTTCGTAATACGAGTTTGATAACAAGTATCAATTCGAAATTAATACACACCTCAAATTCCCATGGTCATCAGTATGTAATCCTTGTAAGCACGTCTGGCCATGAATATCTTTGTGTCATGAATGTGCCCTTCTCTTCTGGTGATGAGTTTTCAGCGTGTCTGTCTGCTGGTGATGAGTTCTGGGCCGGTGCGTTCGCATAAGTCAATTTTGGGCAATTCAACTCTGATTTGGGATTTAACCTCAAATCCCAGCCATCGTCCCTATTGTATAGGTTATTTATTTAGTGCATATTTGGTTGCGTGAATCGTGATCCAATCGATGTGTAATCGAAGTGTGGCCATTATAGCCTCGACCCGGGTGTTGGAATTTATTCGAATTTAATTTCCGTGCGTGTCGAGGAACCCAGGCCACAAATTTTCGCCGTGCTCCACCTTCCGAACGGACATAAACCACTGAAGAGTCGTTTTGGCTACATTTATTTATCCTTTTTATTCAGCTCATCGCTGTGTGTTTGTATTCCAATGCATATATTATTCAACAATTCAACGTGTGCGTGTTAAGATTTATCGCTGGGCGGGGCTTAGAATTCAATATATTCAATTGTTGTTTCAACGCCACGCTGCTCACCTACATATCTGTTGTTTTTTTTCCTGCTTCTGGGCGAGTTCTACATTCCTCCGTGGAACGCAAAGCAAATAACAAATAAACGCTTCGATTACCTTTATTTTTTTTTCGGCTCCGCATTCACATCCTTCATCACTGGAGCACATTGTGATTTTTACTTTATGCTAGCCGCTGACATGTACAAACGAATCGAGACATAAAATGACAAACACCGTGGGGGTGGTCGGGTGAAACGCGCTGAAAGAAACGGAAGCGAACGATTTCGTTTTTATGTGAGTACCAGTTGTGGGTTGGGAGATGTGAAGGCGTCGTATATTTTTTTTATTCCTAAATTCGAGCGTTGTGTGTCTTGTGTGTGATATAATGTACATTCCAGTGGCATGCTTCAAATTCGGGCGAGAATGCGAAATGGCGCTCGCGCCGATAGCCCATAAATCATCAACGTTATGATGTGGAAGGAATGAAAGGAGTGGACGAGTACGAAGCGCCGGTTTTCGTCAATTCGTTTCTCGAGCACGAGCTGTAATTGAACAATAAAACGGTAAATCAACTGCTGCGTTTTTAATTTCCTGCTTTTGTTGCTGTGGTTTGACATAAATTGCTCTCTGGCAATCAAGGGGAATGTAGGAAACCAGAAAACTAATTTTCTTTTTATTTTTGTAATATTTACTTATGTTAAACATAAAATAATGTACATAACTCCAAGCTAAACATGCGTTGCACGTTGCCCACCCTCTCGCAAGACTCGTTTGAACAGCCATCTTGTTTGCACGCGCTGAAAATGTTGAAAATGTTTGACTCTCTGACGCTGGGTATTCATATCGACGTTCTCGCATCGAAATGAGATCATTTTCAAATCATTTTTGGAATTGTGAGTGTGCCCTGGGAGTTCGGGGGCCCATCTTACAAGAGATGTGTTTGTAAAACGTAAAAATCGAATGGCGACCACTGGTATTCCCAGCTGATGGTTTAAATCCAAGTATATAGAAAGTATAGATACGTTTTCGACTTTGATCGAAAGCCAGGAGCAGAAATAGCAAAAGTTGGCATAACATAAAAATGTAAATTTAACTGTCGAATTGGCGAATATGTTCAAAGCCATATATAACAAATTTAATGTAAAATTTATTCTGACATTCGAAAATTTCATATTTCACCATTGGACAATGAAAATGATTAAAACAATATAATTTATGCCTTTTGTAAGCGAAAATACGAGAATGCGAATGTGGAATGAAAGAACCAGCAGCAATTACGTTCCTTAATAATCGGATTTGTTTTTACGTCTGTTTTTTCTACACACAGAGAGAAAAAATGAAACGAGCGCATGTGCACGCCGCACGTGCAACTAATGCCTCTCGCGAATTCCAATCCATTCCCAAAAAAACATCAGCGACAGTAAACGATGAGGCGAAAATTGAATCAATTTTTCTTCTCTCTATCGAATTACATTTTAAATAGAATTTGAAAAAAATTTGTTTTGTAATGACAATTCAGAAATGCATCAAGTTTACGTCCCACGTAAAGTTTTATCATTTATTTTCACGACAAGCACACTTTACCCCGGGTAGGTAATGAGAAAGTCAAGAACCTGATTGTGTGGTATTAAGTCCTTGAAGAACATAATAAATGATTCTATTTAGGTCACAATAATTTATACGCATACATAATACGTATGAAATAATTATTTAATTGAGATGTTGATGAATTCACCAATTAGAATCGTCTCAAGTGTTTCCATAGATTCATACATGAATGAAATATATTTAAGTAATGAAGAGAATGATCTAAGACGAAATAATATCTATAAATCTCGCCTGGAATTAATGGAATCTTAAATAATATCTTTGCGTATCTTGTTTAACTTACAAGGACTCAGCAGCCTTCTTCTGCCAGTGGTCGTGCTCGTATCTCTTATTCATGGTCATGGTAGACAGGGCGCGTGATTAATGAACACAATTTCAGCGCACGCTAGCTGCAAATTCCGCAAAACTATCCACGGCCTGGTGTATTGGCCATTAAGCCTGTTGCCCTTTCCTATACAAACACAAACATAAGCACAAATATTTAGATACAGACGTTGCTCATTCGCAGTTCATTCCAGTTCATCGTCTGCTTCGATTTTGGAAACTTGCTAATCTGCAAGCCAACATCTCGACCCTTGACTCGGGTGGCCATCAAGCGCCATGCTTCGCCCGGATATGATGTAATAAGTGCATTTATACATCGAGAACTTAGTAGGAACACATCCTACTCTAACATAGACGTAATATTCATTGATTTTCGATATGTGAATGAATGAAGTTCACAACATTCACGGTGGAATAAAATAAAACCGGTTAACCGGTTTATACGTACGTAAAGTGCGTGACAAATCCGATTTTACAATACAGTTAATCAATAAACAACGCGACAACGACGCGATATTATTTTTGCCAGGCCCGCAGCTCGACGATTCAACCAACTATGAAATTGTGTACAACGTAACGAGTTTAACGACACTGCGACACAGCGCCATTGTAATCGAACAAATGATATACATGCTTTCGCTCGATATATCATTGCACGTTTCGGCGCACACGCTTAGCGTAATAGTTCGATTAATGCCCCGGCGTTTCAACATCCGATTGGCGAATAATATTAATTTTGATGCACTGGACCAACGCAAATACGTGCTATTTTCAAATGAAAATTTTAATTGCCAAATATTAACTGCAACAGGTGTAAAATTGATCATTTTAATCAAATTATGATAAATTTTTTAATCGTGCATAATATTTAGTATTTTAGCAGTAAATAATAGTATATTATCAAGTGGCTAAATCATGACTAAAACCCGTGACTAAAGTATTTTAATCACAGTTTTGGTTGTCCGTGTATAAAGTACCGCTTTTTGTGTCTCAAAACAGTGAGAAAAACTAACGCATTAACTGCAACAGATGTAAAATTGCTAATTTTAATCAAATCATGATAAATTTTATAAATGTGCATAATATTTAGTATTTTAGCAGCATATAATAGTATATTAAGTATTAAGTGGCTAAATCGTGACTAAAACCCGTGACTAAAATAATTTAATCACAGTTTTGGTCGTCCGTATATAAAATATCGCTTTTTGTGTCTTAGAAACGAGAAAAAGTTGACGCATTAACTGCAACAGATGTAAAATTGCTAATTTGAATGAAATTATCATAAATTTTATAATCG